ATATTGTAGAAACGTCTAAAAACTGATTGTGTTCTCTACATTATAGTCTTTAATAGGATTCTGGGCGAGACTCCACTTGTAGTTAATGAAAAGAACATGGTTTGTTCACAGGTAGCCCTTTATGCACAAGTAGTCATGGCTTTCCTCTGTATTGGGCTGAAATATGTCATGTACATGCAGTTCGTTTGCTCAAACCCTGTCAGGTACCCCTGCATTTTAACAAGCTTCTGTGAAGAGGCCTCCTATGCCTTTGTACTTATTAAATGGGAAGAAAACATATAAACCAAGTCAAGTAAGACTGTACAAAATCTACATGTAGAGTACTAGAGGAATTTTATAAATTCTTTATGGCAATTCCATTATATTAAGATGAATCAACAGGGCTCCCACTGATTTAGGGATGTTCTCTGGGTTGCATAGTAGCAAGGCTTACAATTGTCAAGGAGAAGTGTGGTGACATTCATTGACTGGCATTTTTAGAAATTCCTTCTCTTAGATATTTGGGTCACAGCAATATCAATGATATTAGGAAAATATGGCTAAAGTACAAGTCTCTAAACATTTTACTATGCTTTTGTTCATCAGATTTGTAGCTGCCATTTTGAAACAGATCAAGGCTATAAAAAGGGAGCACAAGGCTAGTACATTTTTTGATGAGGATGTGGTAAGGACACACAGTAAGCTATTCTTTGAACATGAGGGACCCCTAGGGAAATATTCATGATGAGGAAGGGCAACAGACCTGTTCCACTTGAGAAATTTTGCTTTAGAATTCAGTTGTAGGATGCTTTGCTCCTCCCTAAAAATCTTTATCAGTGATCTGATATGTAACATGTTGCTATAGAATAAACCAAACTAATTTCTGAAACTCAATGGGATAAGACAACAATTTATCAATCTTGTGTTGTTAGGGTACGTAACACGGTTCAGCTAACCTGAGTCAGGTCCATCTGATCTCTTCTGGGCTTTCTCACAGGCCCAAGAGTGGACAGTGGCACAAACCCAACCATGGCCTGTGTAGTCTCTCATCCTGCAGAAGTTAGCCTGACTTGTCATGGAGGCTGGGCAGGGCTCTGAGATTATGAGAGGCTAGGCTCCAAAGGACACAATGTCACATCTGTACAATGTTAGCTGAAGAAAGTCTCATAAATCAGCCCAGATTCAGTTGTTGCAGAAATAGTCCTCGCCTCTTGCTTTTAGAAACTACAGAGTTTCTAAAAACTCTGGGATGTAGATAACAAAAGAAGAATAATGTGGCCATTATTGAAAATAATCTCCAGAAAATCCTTCCTAATTTGGTATAATGTGAACTGTGTAACTGATAGTATCTATCTTTTTGCCTTGGTTTGTATTCTTTCTATTTCTATTTATCGTAAATAGTTCTGTTATAAGTTGCTCTAAATACTTTGTGCAATAAGGAAAATATAACAAATTAAATATAACTGGTTGATTATGGAATATAAGAAGGAGCTAATAAAGAATAGAAACAATAGTGCCTTTTTTTTTCCTCCAAGCAAAAATAAATTCCCTCAAAATGAGAGGTCTGGAATGTTTTCCAAGAGTCCACCACAACACATCATGTGAATTTATGAGGTATTCCAATGCCTTCAATATTTATGTTTTCTAGACTCCTTGCTAGAGAGTTTTCTGGACTCTCTTGACTTCAGGTATGAAAAAAATATAAATTTCATCTTGCCTGCTATTTCTCATTGATGGCTAGTGACAAAGAGGATTCTGTCATTTGTTGCCTTTTTCTTTTAACTCCAATGCAAGTCTTCGATTTGATGTATTAAATGTATCCCATTGGTTTAGTCCAGCAGCTTTCTGACCTGTTGAAATCATTTAGAATTTTCATTTTGTCATCTGTAAAGTAGCAATTTCAGTGGAGGTGGGGAGAATCACAATGATACACCGTGATAGCAAACACACTTCTGACTTACGGGTCTGTAGTTCAACTGCAGCAGTCTTGCCCCAGAGGGCAAGTTCAAGGGTATCCCACATCTCTCTTCTTCCCAGATCAGACTAGAGGAAAAGCAACTACTTGAGGTATACTATGTCCTAGCACAGGAAAGTTACACACAAGAACAAGTGGATAACAAAGAACACAGATTCGGGTCAGATGGTGGGTCTATCACTATTCCTTTGCCAGAAAAAGTCACATGGCCAAGGCCAGAGTCAGGGCATAGAGAGGAATACTCTACCCTTAGTGAACTTATGGCAAGGAGTGTAAGAGAAGAAAACATTTGAAAATAATACAGTTTACCAGACATTGCATTAAACTTTCCCCCCAGTTTTGAATCTTTTGCAAATTTGGTGTTGTTGATAGAAAGATAGCTTCCCAAGTTGACTGTTGTAAGACAGCCATCATGTATTTGGATCTGGCAATTTCTGGATCTCTAGTTTTTTGGGGGAGTTGATTTCTTTTTAAAGCAGCCAACATATAAAAATAGTTACAGTTACAAAATACATTTAGTTTGCCTTCCAGGAACTTAGAGTCTTAGAGGGGTAAGACTTGAACACTTAAAAAACCATAATAATAGGAGAGGGTTAAAATTAAAAGCATGACAGGGAGGGCAGGGCATAGACAAGTTTAGTTGGGTAATTAGACAATGATAGATAAGGTTAGAGAGAAAGGTAGAGACATTTGTGGAGGATCCAAACTAGAAGTCAGCTTAATAATGGTTTTCTGAAGGTACATTTGTGTGACAGGGAAATGGAGTATATGGATGTTGAAAGAGAAAAGACTATAGTATACACACATATATGCATATCCCTGGGAAATTATTTAGATCCTTGTCATACCCGACATTGTTTATTATTCAAGGCTTATTTCAAATACCATCTACTCGAAGGAACTAGTTGTGTTAGAGGCATATATTCCAAGGTCTACTTCAGTCTGGCCTCAGTGCTACCTGCCTGAGAAAGTGATATTTGTGCTGAAACTTTAAATTAACACCTGAAAGATGAGTTAGCCAGCAAAAGAAGCTGGGCAAGAGGGAAAGATGTGGTTCAAGGGATTTTCCTAAGAAAGGACTATTGGTGAGAAGGCCAAGTTTGGGGAAAGGGTTTGGCTTATTTGAAGAACAAAATTGTTGAAGTAAGCAAAGAAAAGAGTGACACAGATGGGTTTAGAGAAAGTGATAGAGGAACCAGAGCTTTGTAGGATGTATTAAGAAATTTGAATTGTATGAGAGCAAGAAAAGCCATCGTAAGAGTTTCAAGTTGGCAAGTAACATGGTCTGCTTTGTAATTTAAAAAATCACTCAGGGATAAGGAGTTCAGTAGTAGAGCACTTTCCTGGCATATGCAAGACTCAGGGTTCAATTCCCAATCCCACACCCCCACACACCACTCAAACTGCTGTATGAAGAAAGAATTAAATGGAAGGTAAGAGCCTAAGTGAGGCAGCCATTTGGGAACCTACTGCAATGATCCAGATAGGAGAAAAGGGGATGGCAAATGAGCTATATAAAGAAGAAAATGAGACTTGGGAAACAATTAGGAGTAGCAACCAACATGGCTTGAGGACCAGGCTGGGGTGCTGAGGGAGAAGACAATGTCAAAGACGATTTCTAGGTCTTTGGCATATGCCAATACTAGAAAAGGAGCAAGTTTGAGAAGAATGATGCCTTTGGTTCTCAACACAGCTAGTTTGCTGAGGTCACTAGATATCTAAGTAGAGTCTAGCAGAGGCTGTCAATGGTGAATGTGGAGCTTGGTGGAGAAGTGTGAACTGAATAGGTCTAGAAGGACACTGAAGCTATAGGTGAGGTCCTCACAGCACAATGTGAGGAGACAGGTAGGTAAAGAAGAGAACAAGCGTGGACCTTGACAGCACTTCACAGTTAGTGGTTTGGTGGTGGAGATGGAAGAAATGTAGAAAGAACCCTAGAGAAGTAGGAAGAAGCCAGGAGGATGTGTTGTCAGCATGACCAAGGAAGAAGGTGTTTCAAGAATGGAAGCGTCCACTGCGTCAAGCTTTTCTGAGGGGGTCAAACAAAGCGAGGACCAAAAAGCGTTCTGAGTTAGGTAACATGAGGTTCAGTTGCTAAACTAAGTTTCTAGAATGACTAGGTCCCCAACCCTGCCCTCTGCCTGAGTTCTCAGTGATGGGGATAACAGGGATCTCCAAATTTGGGGATCTGCAGACACAGAACATTTTTTAAAATAAATTTTTTATTAGGATGTATTCATCATATGGGGGATTCATAGTAAAAATTCCTATTAGACTTATATTTTACATTGCTCCCATCGTCTCTCTCCTGCAATCCCCTCCCCACTCCACTTAAAGCAATTGCAAGAGGTTTCTTAGTTCCGTTTTATATAGGTATATGAAGTCCATCAACCGTATACCATCACTTTAAATCTCCTTTCTTATCCTTCCCCCCCGCACTCGTATCTCCCACACACCGTACCTATTTTACAGTCCTGTTTTTCGTTATTAATATTTAAGTTGATGTTCAAAGGATGTCTCAACGCATGCCCACTGTGGGTGTGCTTTACTTTGGTCCATTCGACCCCTTCCATTACTCTCCCCTGTCCCTTTACCTCTCCCCCACTCCGATTTCAACCGCTCCTAATTCACATCCTTGTATCGTCCACCTTCACATCTTATCTTATGCCATATTGCTGATGCTCTGTCATTCTCTTTTCCTTTCCCTCTTTCCCTGAGTTCCACAGAGTATTTCTAGTTAACATGTTCTACATATGAGTTTGTATATCATTATGCTTGTTTTAGACTCATTTTTAAGAATAAGCAGAACTTCCAGTCCTCCGGTTGCAACACGCAGCGGAGCTCCACATCGCCCTCGCGGGGGGACCCACTCGTGTCAACGCTGGCTGAGTCAAGGGCCCCGCGGCGGGAGGCGGCGCACCTGGGGAACAGCCGTATCTGATTGGCTGAACGTGGCAGCCGCCCCGTGATTGGCGGAGGCGGAGGGGGGCCGGCATTCGGAGCAGCCTTTTTTTCAGCGTGGTACTTTCGTTTTCCTGCGCGAAGTCTTCCGAGGCTGCTTGCTGCATCCGGGGACCGCTCCTGTCAGACACCGCATCCCCCCAGGCCCCGCAAGGCGACCCACCGCGCCGGGGAGAGGCGCCCCGCCGCACCTGCACTCGCACTTGCCGGCACTTGAGTGCGGTGAGTGGGTGTGAGGTTCTGGGTGTTGGGAGTGGAACGCACCCCGACAGGGGCGCTCGGCCGGCTTGGGCTTCACACTGCTGCGCGCTGAATTCGTCATCCCAGAGAGAGAACTCGTCCCAAGTCCCCACGTGTGATTAGGTCCACCCGTTCTCGGTGCTGGCATTCCTGGCACGGCTGCCCCTGCGCAGCCAGTCAAGATGACTTGTGAAATCGCATTTCCCCCAGATGGCACTGTCTTTTCCTCTTCCCCTTCACTCGCCTCACTCCCCGCCCGTTTCCAACAAGGTAACTTTTTCTTCTCTTGGCAGAAAGTTTCATTTGCCCTGAGCCATCCCGCAGGGCTGTCTGGGATACTCGCTGGCACCCCATGCCCGCAACTCCAACGGGCTTCCGCCTAATCTGCTGTGTGTAGCGGTTGCTTGCGTGGAATTCCCAGCCCTTCTGGGGAACAAAGTGTCAGGTCAGTAAATGGTCATGGAAACAAATTTGAAATCTTAATTGTATCCTTGCTTAAGCATGAGGAGCTTACCGTCCTAGAATTTAACAGTGATATGAGTTCCTGCAGAACCCCACAAAATGGAACTTCTCTAAGTTCTGATCAGTAAACGAAGAGTTCTGGGCAGGTTTATAGATGTGCGAATATAGTTGTGCTTTGGATGTTGTAAAAGGGTTTGCCTTTTCCTTTCCAGTTTCATCTAGACTATACAAGGTTTCAGCTGAACAAACCGCTATATGCTCATCGACACGTAATGGTTTGAGTCATGCAGGGTAGTGTCTAAGGCAGAGAATGTTAAAAAGAAAAATGATCCCCTCCACTCCACTGGGACTCTCGAACTTATACTATACAATGGGGGACACCATAGAGCTGTGCAAAGAAGATTGGAACTCTGGTAGAGGTACAGAATGTAATGCAGCTCAGATCAAAGAAAGCTAATTGTCTCTGAGTAAGTCTCAGAAAACTTTATGGAACAAGGGAGCATTTGTACCTATCTTTGATTGCTGATAGGTTTAGAGAGGCAGAAGTTTGTAGGATGGCTATTTGTATGGGCTAACGGCAGCTGGAGAAAATCAGAAATGTTGGATTCAGTCAAAAATAGGAAATAGTTTGGTGTCTGGGTTGCTTTGTTGATAGATGCAGACGGAGTAGGGTGGAAATCAGTCTAAGAATGGAAAAACCAGCATATTTGCACAAGAATAATATGGTCCAATCCATGTGCAGCAGAGGCCTGGATTGGGAGGGTAGAGGGTTGGAAGCAATGAGGCAGCTGGTCTAGAGACTGGAGGGGAAGTAGTCAACCCTAAATTTGGGATTTAAGCCTGTTGATTTGGGGATGGTCTTTCCACTCCCAGGGTTGGTAATAGATTTTGTGGGAAGATGCAATTGATTTCTGGATTTTTTAACATGAATTTATTGAGTCACCTGCTTGGTGTTATGTGCTGTGTATGTATTAGGTCATGCAGTCCAACAACTACCTTGGTGATAGGTTGGTAAGTTGCCTGGGTTTGCCTGGCTAATAAGAGGTGTTGTAGCCACCATTGGCTGGCAGATCAGCTTATTTGCTTTAGGCATATCCCTGATAGGGAGGGAGAGAGCTGCTGATTTGAAGCTTTTTGTTTTGGTAAAATAAATTAGAAGTGAAAAATCAAATCGCTACAGCAGGTATGACAAGAGACAAAGGGGTGGGATTGGGCCCATTTCTACTTGTGTTAGTGAAAGTAGCTAGCTTTGTAGTCTAAGCATTCCTTGCTCTCCTTTAGAAGGACATCTGTAGAGCAGGCAGGCATGCCTTCATACCAGGACATGTGTGTTTGAGAATGGGCATGCATCCCCATGCTTCCATGCCCTACTTGAAAACAAGTTTGTCTGACAGGACAAGATCACTTGTACCACTCTGAATGTGCTGAAACCAGTGTGCACTGATGTAAATCCTAAGGTACATGATGCTCATTTTTCTAACAGATTTTAGGACTTAAATTGAGATTTTTGTTTGGTGGTAGAGGGATTTGAACTCAGGGCTTTGTGCTTACTAGGCAAGCAGTCTACCACTTGAGCCTCAACCCCAGGCCTGATTTCTTGTGGATATTTTTGTGATGGGATCTCCTCCTTTTTGCCTGGGCTACACTGTGATGGTGATCCTCCTACCTATGCCTCCTGTGTAGCTGGGAATACAAGTGTGTACAACCCACTGTACCTGGCTTATGTGTTTCGAGATAGTCTGGCTAATTTTTTGTTCAGGGCTAGCCTTCAACTGTGATCCTCCTGATCACAGGTAGCTGGGTAGCTGGGGTTGCAGGTGTAAGCTCCCATGCCTGGCCCTAAGTCAGGGTTTTGTTGTAATTTTTAACCTTCAGGTCTGGTATATAAAAACTGACTTAATAGTTATCCACAGAGATAAGTGGTACTTTATCCATGTTTAAATCTTGAAAAAATCATTATTAAGATTTAAAACTTCTTTGTGCCAAATTTATTATTTGCAGTAGGCAAAGAAGAAAATACATCTCTTTGAAAATGTGTTTAACAAAAATAATTAACTTTACCATATGATCCTGAAATATAAAATACCAGTTAAACTATGTTTTTGTCAGATTCCAAAGGTACTGTAGGACAGCATTTTTAGAGAGTTCTTTTGTGATTCGTCTTAAATCCAATAGTGCTTTCCATTTATTTATTTGATAAAAGTGCAAAATTCATTTTAGAGTCATATTTGTTAGATACCTAGTTTGTGCCTGACATTGTTCTGGGGAAACAGCAATGAATAACTTCTTTCCCCTCCAAAGCATCCTTCCTGTCATTAGACAAAAATAAGTAATCAAAATAAAAAAGAAAAATACGTGATGAATCACAGGGTGGTAAGTACTATGAGGAAAAATACATCAGGGAAGAAAGATAGTGGTTTCCAGGGAAGCAGCTGGTTGCTGTTTAAATAAGGTCACCAGAGTAGGCTGCCCTGATATTTTGACATTTGAGCAAAGACCTGAAGATGTGTTTCCTGGAGAAGAAAAAAATGTTGATCACAAAATTCAGTAAAAAACAACATGTAGCTCAGTGATATAGCACCTGCCTACAGCATATGCATGGCTCTGGTTTCAATCCTCAGCACCAAAAAGCAAAAACAAAACATAACTAATTTTGGATATAAACACCATTTAAATATAATATTTCAGAGACAAATTATGTCTTGGATGAAGTAAGATATAAGAAACACGTCGCTAGAGGCTTTCTTTGGAGCTGTCCATGTCCGTTTGTAATGTATGCTCTTTCTCACAGGATGTCTCAGTGGTATGAACTTCAGCAGCTTGATTCCAAATTCCTGGAGCAGGTTCATCAGCTTTATGATGACAGTTTTCCCATGGAAATCAGACAGTACCTGGCTCAGTGGCTAGAAAAGCAAGACTGGTAAGCAAAACTTACTGGATGGGGGAGGAAAATTATCTATGCTTTAAGTGAAGTGACTTAGAACCATGTTTACAGAAAATAACCTCACTAATGGCTATGAGGATTATCTGTTTCAGAAAAGTTTGTTGATTTAAAAAAGGGCATGTGTCTCTACAAAACCGAGTTCATTAGTCATTATGCACTTTTACATAGTTTTGCCAAATTTAATTGTGATATATGTTCTCTCAAATACTTCGGACAGGTTAGATAATAGAAAATAGTTACTTTAGGATTCCGTCTATAGGAAGAAAGAATTAAAAAACTAAAGCTAAATTATAGTAAAACATTGATTAGAAATTTGAAGAAAGTAACAAAATTAAGGAAATTATCACTTAAAACTGATATGTGTTCCATTTTGAAACTTATTTTCTGGTGACTGAAAAAAATTTAAATATTCTGAAAGTATCCGACATAGACAGTGAAGCTCCCCTCCCCCGCCCCCCATAGTTTTTTTTTTCTCTCCAGAGGTAATCACCATGATAATTCCCTGTACTATCTCTTTTAAGTGTTATATAATTTTTCTTGCTTATTGTATGTGATAGAAATACTGTATATCTGCTGATAAAACAATGTCAGTTTTAAAAAGACGAAAATAAACCAATTTCAATAAAGGAAAGCAACACTTTTTTCATCTGTTTTAAGTGGTATCCAGAATGAAACGTGTAAACTTTAAATCTCCTAGGGAGCATGCTGCCAATGATATTTCATTTGCTACCATCCGTTTCCATGACCTCCTATCACAGCTGGATGATCAGTACAGTCGCTTTTCTTTGGAGAATAATTTTTTGTTGCAGCATAACATAAGGAAAAGCAAGCGTAATCTTCAGGTATGACCTGCTTTTTGGTCAAATTGTTCCTATGTTTACCTAAAACAGTTTTCTGCATTTAGCAAAAAGTACTAAGAATACATTCATTGGTATTTAGAAAATTTACAGAGATATAAACTCTCTTTATGTGACTAATATATATAAAATAAGACACCAATTCATTTTTTAAGCATACAAGGAATTTTCAGGCTTAAGAGTATCACCTGTTAGGTGTCAGCAGTTCTGAAATATGACATTGTAACCTTGTTTTGCTAAAAATTTTCAATATTTAAACCATTTTAAGAACAATGATCTGTAGTAACACATTAAACTCCAAGGAATTTTGGTGATCAGTTAAGTCTAAGTCCTCCACATACAGACGAAGAGTAAGTTCAGAAAGGTTTGACTTACTAGAGGCCCAGTGGGGTTTTAGTGACCTGGACTAGATTCCACCTGGCCTTGCTTCGTGTAGAGTTGCCCTCGCCTGGAAGACAAAAGCAAAAGATCCAGACACAAGAGAATGTAATACAAAGTTTTAGGAATTCTTGACACACTCCTAGTATGTGCTTAGCCTTAATACCATATTTATTCTGTGTTAGCAGAACTTTTCTGTTCTAAAGGAAGCAAAAGGTATCTTTTTCTTGTTTCATACAATAGAACCAAACTTTTCACCTTAAGTAATCGGAAACTTGCTTTTTAAATGTACCTATGATTTTGAGTGTAGAAATCATATTAACTTTATAGAAATCTGCTCAGCTTTAATTCAAAGCATAGGCCAACACATATATTAACTGAGAAATCTGAGTAGTTCTTTAATCATTTGCATTGTCTCAGGAGCTTAACAGAATATAATTGTCTTTAAGAAATACAGAAAGCCATTAAAGTAAAAACATTTGTGAAGGGCAGGGGACGTGGGTAGGAAAGAGTACATGCTTAGTATGCGCAAAGCCTTGGGGTCAATCCCCAGCACTGCAGGCACACACACAAATGCTTCTTTTTAAATCAAGAAGTACTTCAGAAAGCAATGGAATGCCAAAATCAAATAGTTACATCAGGATGGGGAAAGGAGTACTGAAGTAGATAAAATGTGTAATATTGTTCTAGCTCTTAAATTGGGTGATCAATTTATGAGTGTTTTATTACTAATGCTTGGTAGCATAATCTATGATTTTGTACTTGTCATGTAATAGACTTTTAAAAAAATTACCAAATTCCATTTAAAAAAATGAAGTACTTCAGGTACCTACACTTAATTGGTAAGGTAAAGCAATTTTTGTCCTGGTTTATGAAAGGAGTATTTTGATTTCTATAAAAATAGTTTATGCTAATTTAATGGATAGAAATGAGGTTTGTCATGGAATGTAAATAAGTTCTTATATTTATAACACACAGTGGTCTAAATATTCTGAACATTATTTTTATTCTTACCACCTATGTAGGATCATTTTCAAGAAGACCCAGTACAGATGTCTATGATCATCTATAACTGTCTGAAGGAGGAAAGAAAGATTTTAGAAAATGCCCAGAGATTTAATCAGGTACTATTTCTAATTGAACAATTACAATAAAAATTCACTCATTCATTTCAAAAATATTACTGAAGTCCAGATCAAGGCAACACTGCATATATCTTTGGTTTTATAGCCCCAAGAAGCAGAGAAAGTCAGATTTAGAGATTTTGTAGAATTAGGTTTTAAGAAAGATCCTTATCTAATGGAATTAAATTCAAGTGAGGACAGAGACAACACATAGACAAGATACTTCTAGGTAATATTAAGTGTGGTGAAGATAACATGGTGTTATGGAGTGACTGAGGGGATGGCTGTTTCTTTAGGTTAAAGTCAGGTGCTAGCACAGAAATGGAAGCAGGCAGAAGGTTAGAGGGTTTCTGCAGTGGTTTAGGATAGTGCTGTGGAAGTTGTACTCAGTATCACTGGAGGTAGGAAGAAGGACACACACTTGGGTTATGTTTTGGCCTGCTACCAATAGGGCTTTTATCAAAGGATCAGATGTGGATGTGAGAGAGAGAGTGAAAAATCAAGGATGGGTCTATGCATGTGACTTGAGTCACTTGGAGAATGGCAGTGCTATTTACTGAACTGGGAAGACAGGGAAGAGATATGAGCAGAATTTTTGTAGGATACAAGTTTTGGAAGAGAAGAGATTAATGGGAAAATTAAAGGCTTTGTTTTGAATAATTAATTACTTGGGACAATCCAAACAGTAAATGAGTTATAGATGTACTGGTACTAAGATTTTTTGATCATGATTTTACTAGTCCTCCTGCAATCCTTCTTGGCAATTCAATAGTTTTTTGATGTTGTGGTGGCATTTATTCCTGCTTTCTGAAGCAGTGGGTGGTGAGAACAGTCCAGTAGGGAGGCAGTTTTAAAACCGCTGTTTTCTGAGTTGGTCTGGCCAAGCCTATTCTAGTATGTAGGGAGAATGCAGAGGACACAGTAGAATGTTTACTGTGTGCATTTCACAGACAAATAACAAGGTAAACTATGTCATGATGGGGAGAGTGAGGATGGAAGCAGTGGTGAAGACCTTTATCAGTCCCTTCCTGAGCATTTCTCTGCACTCTTAGTTACTGTCTCCCTGTGGCACTGAAAGTACCTCGCTGTGTAAAGCATGTAAAGATTATTCTAAATTCAAGTTAACTGGTTTATTTGGTACTCAATCTAGAGAATAACGTTGTATATTAACATTAGGGAGAAATCTGGCTGCCTTGTCTGTTCTAAGAGAGGCATGCCTATCCCCAACCTAACTTGCCAACCTGGCATGCACCTGGGAGACTTGCAATAGGATTTTTTTTTTTTTTGGTGGTATTGGAGGCTGAACTCAGGTATTCATGTTTGCTGGGCAGGCACTCCACCATTTAAGCCATGTTCCCAGACTCTTTTTTTGTTTTACTTATTTTTGGGATAGGATCTTGCATTTATGTCCATGCCAGTGTGGACTGAGATCCTCCTATTTATGTTTCCCATATAGCTGAAAGGACAGGCATATACCATTTCTTCCAGCTATTGGTTGAAATGGGGTCTTGCTAGCTACCCATCTATCTTGACTTGTTCAAACTGCAGTTCTTCTGATTGATCTCTGCCTCCTGAGTAGCTGAGATTATAGGGATGAGCCACTGGTGCCTGACACAACAGAAAATTTGAATTCTGTGAGATTTTCATTCTAATAACAGTACTCAGGGGTCCCTCTGTATTTTAAATAGACTTGAGAGGATAACCAAGAGCAGAGCCATGCAGAAGACACACAGACTGTTCATCTTTGTTCTCACATTTGGCCCCTCAGCCCACCCAGCCTGGAGTTGGCTATTCTTTGGGTCTTGAAGACTTGGACTCCCCATTAAAATTTTTGGTGATCTGGGTGGGTTTATTTTGAGCCTTTCAGAGGACACCTGAGTGATTGGACCCCATGGCAAGGCTTCCCCAGGGTGTGAGGGAAGGTCTGGGTGTCTGAGGGTGTTAGGAACAGGGAGAGGCACAACAGTTGGTCCCTTTCCACTGTCCTCTAGCCTACCCCTGGCTTGGCAGTTAAGAAACATTTCTTTTCCATTTTCCCCTCTTGCTGAAGTTAATATTTTATCAATGTATTTTCTGTTCAGCTTGAAATGTGTATTTATGGAATGAAATGGTTTCTGGTATGTGCTTTAAAACAATCCAGTTTTGGGGACAGAGAATTAAAGACAATATGAAGAAAACAAGTGTTGATGAATTATATTGAAACTGTATTATAGGTAGATGTGGATTCAATAGATTGAATACATTAAAACATGTAAATTTTGGAATCCGTATTGATTTTCATTATTTTTTAAATAGAAGAGTTGTGAGAAAATACATTTAAGAGAATGTTATATTATACATATTTTCTAGTAGATTATAAATGTTTTGTCTGATGCCTTATAACACACTAAGCTTTTTCTTTTTGTGTGATGAAAAAGCTAATTATATGTATGAACAAAATTTAGGTCCATAAGGTGCAGAGTGGGTGATACTACATTCTTTCAGGTTGGACGGAAGGCATGAAGTAGATTCTAGGCTTCCCTTGGCTCTTCCATCTTTGTGATTTTGAGTAATAATAGAATTCCCATCTGAATAATGCTTATCATGTTTCAGACTCTGTGATAATCACCTTACAACATTATTTTATTTGAATAAATGCTTCCAGTACTATCATTGACGGTAGGTATTGTTATCCCTCATCTTATAGATGAGTAGACTAAGGTTTGGAGATAATGAAGATTGCGTTTGGAATTTAAACCTAGAATTATCGAGGTTTAAGTACACACTAGTACAATCTCCTGTTTAACAACAGATGGGAGTCAAGTAGAGGAATAGAGGGAGGAAGGGGAGGACAGAATAAGAGCATAACAAAGAGTTTTAGTAATATGGATAGACTTCTACTTAAGGTTGAAAAGGCCATAATGTATCTCAGGCTCTCCCAGTCACCATGTTTCCCATCGAGCACCTGAGCACCTGACAACACAATAAAATCTGTGCTGATCAACATGTTCACCTCTCACTGTGTTCTTCACAGCATAGCTTCTATGTAGGGTTTTTATGTATTTGAATTTATCAGTCTCTTTTTAATACTAGGTTTTGCCTCATAATATTTCCTATTGAAAGATAAATATAAAGGACTTCATTCATTTTTCCCCCTAGAATTTGTATGCCTTCTTTTATACTTTTACTTTTGAATTTTATATTTTGTAATTTAAAAAATATTTTTCTATATTATACATTTCATATATATCAAATATCTTTGTATATTTTATGTATTTTTATATGTCTCTTATGTACATATTTTTATTTTTGATATACATAAAACATAAAAATTATACATAATGGGAATTATGTGATGTTTCATTATAGGTACATATTATTTAATGTTTAAACCAAAGTAAACTTATCTATCTCCTCAACCATGTATCATTTCTTCATGGTGAAAACATTCAATATCCCCCCCTGTGGTTTTTTTTAGCTATACAGTACATAATTATTATCTACTGTGCAATACCACAACAGAGTTTCTATTATTTTACTTTTAGATCTCTGAACTATTTGAAGTTTATTCTTATATTTAATGTGAAGTATATGTCCAACTTTAACTTTTTCCAACTGGCTATCCACTTGTCTTAGTTACATTTAGTAGAAAGCCTGTATTTTTCCATGTGTTGAGAGCTGCCAACTTTATCATATAAATTTCCATATGTATCTGAATGTATTTTTAGATTTTTCTTTTCCTTCCTGTTGATTTATTCATAAGCTTGAATGGGCCATGTTTAATTATAGAAAACTTACAGTATATGTGGTAGGGCTAGTTCCATCTCATTGCTGTGCTTTTTCAGGCATTTCTTTGCTATTATTGCATGTTTATTTTTATTTTCACAGGAATATCAGTGTCAATTCATAATTGATAAATTATGAATTAACTCAGAGTTCATATTTTATGAATGTTTATTTTTTTCTCTTTTATTAGATGATGTTTTTAATTCTTATGTGTCTTATATTTCCTTGCCATGTGTTTCTGACTTACTGGAGTTTTTTTAGCAAAATATTGTAGATGTTAGGCCATGTTCTAGCCCAGGTGTTCGAGTGGTAAACAAGATAGTCCTTATTTTCAAAGGAATCAGATTCTAGGAGCAAAAATAACATCTTTCTAGAATCTGATCTTGTAATAGCAGATTTTCATTGGCAGTGCTTTTCGACTTTATTTTGCCTCTGAATCACTGGGGATGGTGTTAAAATGGGGTTCTGATTTAGTCATTAAATTAGGACTTGAGATTCTGCATTCCAGCCAGCTCTATAGGTGGTAAGATGCTGCTGGTCTGGAGACTAAACTTTGAATCATAGGCTTTAAGATAAATGATTACTATATTAATATGGGTAATCTCATGTCAAGAATTTGAAAAACCCTGAACTCTTGCCTATGTGGTGCCATTCAACTATATGAATTAATAGAAACTTCTAGAAATACTACTTTAGACATAATTTTAAAATACTATTTTAAACTCATACTGAATTTAGACATTCTGTAGCCTTGTTAATAGTTTGCTAGCATTCTCCAAGGCCTTGGCAACTGAGCTATTTCTTATTAACACACAGGAAGGCTATAGTAAGTTTTGGAAGGTCTGAGGGCAGGTGGGCTACAAGGTATGGACTTGACTTTGGGGTGTAAATAGCATTATCAGTAAAAATGATGGCTGTTGACCACGCACTTCTCATTACAGGCTCAGTCAGGAAATATTCAGAACACTGTGATGTTAGATAAACAGAAGGAGCTTGACAGCAAAGTCAGAAATGTGAAGGACCAAGTTATGGTGAGTATTTAGTAAATACATGCATTTACTCTGTATCGTTCTGTAGGGCAGAAAAGGTTTCAGTCACCCTGCATGTAAACCTAGTAACTATTCTCTTACATAGTTGAGAAGAAAAATTTTATGAAAGTTATAAACCAGAAGTAAACAAATTGGTAAAACCAATAACCAACTAGATTTTTTATGGCCTATTGTAACATCCAAACATAGAGCTTATTTTTCCTTCCTTGAAAGATCATGCAGTAAGTGTTGACTTTGCCCCCATTATGCTATAAACTAGATATTATTCTAAAAAGCCTTTTATGTCCACACCTCTCCCTTCAGGGTGTTCCTGGGATTACTCAGAGTTCTAGGATAAACATGGTACAAGCACTTTCTCAAGTGCTTGTTTTGTTCTAAGACTTGGAAGAGAATGAAAAACTACTTCCAGTGCATTTCTGATTAGAATAAGACATTCACAGCAATTTTAAGATAAATCTTCCAAGATAGCTATAGCACCCTGGCACCTTTGTTGGCATGCATTCACTCCTATCCCTTTGATGGCTATTTGAGGAGAAGGTTGAGGAAATCTGCTTCACACAAGATGTATATTTGTAGAAAAAGCCTTCCAGCCAAGAGGTACAGGCCTGCCATGGGTCTGGGCAACAGCAGCATGGTTTCAGATAGCATCTTCACTAGCCCCAGATTCTTTACAGCAATTTATCCTATAAGTCTTCTAGGGAAACACTCCATTGAAGTAGAAACCAAGCCATCTTGGTCTAGTAATAGCCAGGGAAACCCAGAGAAGAATGTGTGGAAATGTGAACAAATCTGAAATAAATGAAATAAGCATTTGTGAAATTTATTGTCCAAACTGAGATAATCTGAATGAATAAGAGCACCCTGTTAATAATTATACTAGGCCTGATGTTTTGGCACATATCTGTAATCTCAGCACTCAGGAGACTGAGGCAGGAAGGTTATGAGTTCAAGGCCAGCCTGGGCTGCATAGTTGAGACCCTGTCTCAAAAAAAAAAATTGCACCAGGACAGCAGGTGTTAAACTAGGATTGTTCCAGCTAAATAGGATGTGTGTGGCTATCCTTCTTACTTGTAAGAAATGAGATTTTCCATGAGTTTATTTTCCCCTTCTGCATACTTCACAATGAAGTTGTTAAGTCATGTCTCTGAGACAGTCTCAAAATGACAAGGATGATCTGAGCATGTAGGACATGCCTGTAATCCCAGTCTACAATCCTAGCCTATGATCCCTGACTGAGGCAGGAAGAGTTCTAGTTTGAGGCCAGACTGAGATTCATTATCAAGACCCTGTCTAACAAAAAAATGATAAAGAAGAATCAAAATTTAGGCCTTGAACCAGGTGATGACAGTTTGAAAATTATTATGTTTTCTTTTATGAAAATATTATCATTGCATTCTTACTAATGGAACATATATTATTTCATGTATGAGATTAGAGTTTTGGTCCATCTTTGATGGAGCTAGAATTTTTTTCATATTTTCCTGCTTTCTATAGAAGCAATGATGTGTTTCCTTAGAGGCTTTAGAAGCTGATGATCAGTGGAAAACATGTTTACATCTTTATTTGCAGTGTATAGAGCATGAAATCAAGACTCTAGAAGATTTACAAGATGAATATGACTTTAAATGCAAAACCTCACAGAACAGAGGTAAGTACTAACAATTAAAGAGTGTCCATTGGCTATAATTTTTTCTATCTCTTCTAGATAACAAAGGCAATCACTCCTTCATATTTGCCACATATTTCATGGCTCTGAATCACCAGTCATCAGTCACCTGCTTCTTGATGAGTCAGGCCAAGGTTTCTAAGCTTAGTGATATTGACATTTTGGGTCAGATAATTTTCTGTTATGTGGGTATCCTACGCCTTGTAGAATATTTAGCAGCAACCCTAACTTCAGATACCAGTGGCATTACCTTTTAACTCCTAGCGTTGACAAACAAAACTATCTCCCAACCTTCCCAAGTGTCTTCAAGGAAGGAGGGCAAAGTCACTCCTAGTTGATACTACTGGTTATGTGTTATTCACCTTTTTTATTGTGGGTAGCTCATTGATTGATACAGACTGGAGGACATGTGGAGTTTCCCTGTCCTTAATACCTAATATTCTTTTAAATGTTCCAGCACCATGTGTATGTGCTATAGATAAGCTCAGCATTTTTCTCATGTTTTATAGTAACTTCATTCTATTTTATTGTTCCTACTTGTTTTTAATGATTGTAGCAAGTAAAAGTAATCCCAGTATGTACATAGAGTACCACTTTTAACCTAGTAGTTATGTGGTTAATAGAGAAAGATAATTATTATAATTTGGGTAAAAAGTATGAGAGAAAGGAGCTTCAACTACTACTTCCTAATTATCCACTTCTCTTTCAGAGTCATAGATATGCTCCATATACATTTATCTGAAGTTTTGAATTTTGTCATTTAAATAATATTCTGACAGTGGCATGGGTCACTGAAACTAGTACCTTGTTTCACTGTGTTCACTTTTATACTTAGGACATTTTCTTCTTTTGTTTAATAAAGGTCAAAGGGAAAACATTGTCCTTGTATCATATTTCTCCTAAATTTATGTGAGTCTTGGCTTTAGTTAGATCTTTTTGTCTTCTTATGCATTTATATTTATCTACTATGTCTCAATTCACAGAAAATGAAACCAATGGTGTGGCCAAGAATGACCAGAAACAAGAACAGCTGTTACTCAAGCAGATGTTTTTAATGCTTGACAATAAGAGGAAGGTAGGGATTGCTTTCCAGAATATCATGTTGCCTTTGTCAAGATTGTAAATAATGGCTTTGAAGTTTAGAGGAGAGGAAGAATTATTTGTATAACCACTTGGTTTCGAACCCCAGTTGTAAATGAAAAGATACTTGCTTTGCTTTAAAAAAACTTTTAAAATTCAATGATTAAAAATAAATTTATTTCACTTTGTTTCTTTATATTCTTTTAGGAAATAGTTCACAAAATAAGAGAATTGTTGAATGCCACTGAACTTACCCAGAACACACTGATTAACGATGAGCTAGTGGAGTGGAAGCGGAGGCAGCAGAGTGCCTGTATTGGGGGACCACCGAATGCTTGCCTCGATCAGTTGCAGAACTGGTAAGATCCTCTGGAGTGAAGTGCTAGCAACTGACTGACTGACCACAGAAGCTACTACAGAGCACAGTTGGACTGCGTTAGCTGGATGAGTCCTGTCAAAACACTGGTTTAGAATTTGACATACTGCAGCTTCTTAGCAGGAACACTCAGAAAACATGGTGCTGTTCATGACTGTTGCCATATTCAGCCATATCTGCTTATGTGAAGCATTCTTGGACATTGGGATGTGTCATTTGACTATACAAAACTCCAGTTAAATGGTTATTACATAACACATTTAACAATGTGAGTCCTGATGTTTTATTAAAAAACAAAATATCTTGAGGCATTTTCTAGGTTTACATGAAGTAATAGTTTGTCCTGGGTCATCTATTCAGTTGTTTATCAGGTAAATTCTTATGAGATACTGTGAACCAGGCACTATAATGGGACCTGGGTGCACAAGGAAGATTGCTTCTTGGGCCTTGCCCATCAGGGCATTGACCAAGAGTGAATGGGTACTTCATGGAAATAGGGAGGAGGAGCTGTTTCCAACAGAAGGAAGAGCACAGGCAGAGGCACAGAGGTGAGGGACTGCAGGACAGCATAAGATGGCTGGAAAGTGCCAGGGAGACATAGGGATGTGATACTGGCAAGAGATGCTGCACTCTGCACTCTGATTGTGGATGTTCTCAGAACCTTGTCTGGAATGGGAACTTCACTCATCAGGTGCTAGCATATATGTAGAGTATATATATATATATACTCTATATAGCTTATATATAGAGTCTTAAGCAGGTGGTGTATTTCTCTCATTCTGAGTCCCTCTGGTATTAGCCTGGATAGAGATAGAAAGATCAATTAATCAGAATACTATGCAAGACAGTGACATGAGAGGTATCTCCATGAGAAAGTTAGTGTAATCCAGGGGAGGATCCAAAAAATGGAACAGAGGGAATGGAAGAGGTGGAATCTCAGAGTGAATGTGAGAGGATGGTGGCCTGAGAAAATTGCCAAGCACTCATGGACTAGGATCTAGTGGAGTTATTTTTACAAGATTACACTCCTGATTTTTTAAAGCCAATATTAATATTCAGCCATTTGTTTTTTATTATGTGAATTGTGTATACACACCCCAAATTTGCTGTAGGTTAGAGTAGTGCTTCTAGTTTAGTGTGCCCCTTGTACCTTGAGAGATAACAACCTCCCTAAGCCCTCTAGGTGGCCAGGAAGGCCCTGGGTATGTAGAGTCCCCTAGCATTTGCCTTAAGCCACAGGAGCCTCTTCCAGTGATAAATGCATCCAGTTTTCCATACTATATGAGGATTGCATTTTTTCTATGTGGGAGATGCTTTGCAGAACCTCCTTAGGAATTTACCCAACTACCATCCTGCTTGCTCATTTTGTAGTAAAGGACCTTTCTCTCTCTCTCTCTCTGTCTTTCTCTCTCTCAATGCTTTGAACTAGATTCAAGGAGTGAAAGTAGATGTTTTTCAATGGGGAGAAGGTTTTAAAAGATTTTTTACTGCCATTTATCAGACAAATAAAATGGCACTTCCACAGCATGCCTGACTCAGAGGCTGTGTCACCATTTGCAATTGACTAAGGAAGGAAGAGTCTAAGAGCTATGTTTCCTCATTGGCCTCATACTTGTAGTCAAGACTGAATGAGAATATTGCTTTCTTGTTTCAGTTGAGTGAAACAGCAGTCTTCATTCTTTCCTCCTCACCTCCTCCCTCCAGCCTTGCCTCTCCTCCCTACATCGTCCCCAGCTTTCGTGATGCTCCCCCCACTTTCCTTTGCACATTGTCTCTGACAGTCTTGCTGAGATTCCACTTACTTATGTCACTGTCTTGACATAAAACTAGTGGCTCCTCACTGCCTTTTGGATTACCTGAAGGCATCTGCCTTACTGTTTCCCCTGTCTCTGTCCTCCTCTTTGCTCTGTCCTTTTTCAGTCCTAGGTAACTTAAAGATCAGTTGAAGTCACATATCATCTGGAAACCCTGCCCTGCCCATCTCTCTTCATGTTGATCTCAGGAATGTGTAGGACTTCTGACCTAGACTATAATTGTTCACTGCACATTAATTTTTTTTTTGTCTTCAAGTAACTAAGCCCTTCAATGCCAGCATAAGCTTTGATTCCTCTTTTTCTTCTTGGAGGGTAGAATGTAATGCAGTGTGTTACTCATACAACTTGTTGATTTCTGTGGTTCTCTTTAATACAGACTGCTTTGGGACTGTTGCTCACCAAGTCACCTTCTCTTGTACTTTCCCAGGTTCACCATGGTCGCAGAGAGTCTGCAGCAGGTTCGTCAACAGCTTAAAAAGCTGGAGGAGTTGGAACAGAAGTACACCTATGACCACGACCCTATCACAAAAAAGAAACAGGTGTTATGGGATCGTACCTTTACCCTCTTCCAGCAGCTCATTCAGAGGTAACCCCAAGGAGATTTATTTGCACTTCTGTGGTTATTTCATTCAGAGAAACATTTTATAGCAATTCAGATAATTTAAAAGGGTTAAATAGGCCATATAAATTTTTTAATATGAGTTCATTCTTCCTCAGTGCCTTGTTTATATTAATGGGATTCATTCTGTCGGTCGTCTAGTCTAGAAAGTGTAGTAACTTTTTACTCCTCTTTCTGCTCCTTAACCAGTCTATGCAAAGACTTAGCATGTCTAACCTCAGGACCCTTGTCTTCTCATTCCCCTATTGTGGCTTCATCATGTTTCAGGGTCTCAAATCCTTTGCTGAACTCTTATATAGTAGCCTCCCAATCAATTCCCCTTCTCAGCCTTTCCACCCTAGGTGCTGAGACCAAATGCTGTCCCAAGGCAGAGTTAGAGTCCTCACCCCTGCCAGCCATGTGGAGCCCCTCACTCTGTTGGACACTCCTGACTACACTTCCACAGTCTGTACCCAGCAGCCACTTCACACTTAGCATCGATGCATACCCCATATCCAAGCAAACTTGACCTTTTGCTGTACAACTGTACCTCTCTGTCTTCCCAGAGTTCCCAAACAGATGTAGTCTCCCTTCCAGACTTGCAGAATTAATTCTTCATTTTTTGCCCACTTTACTTTTTGTCATATAATTTTTTGTATGTTTCTGTTATCTTTGTTGAAAATTGGAAGGTTTGGAAGACAGAGATGCACCTTTGTCACGCTTTCTTCCCAGAAGGGTCTAGCACAGTAACTTATAAACACAGTATGTGTCCTGAACATACTTAGTAGATAAATGTTACTAAATGGAACAGTTGAGTTCATATTGCAATTGGCATACTGAAAATGTCTTTGGCTCCCTGTGGCTAATGTCCGAACAGAAATGCCTTCATTCTAGAGCGTGAAAAATTTAAGGACATTTATCAGGAGTTTTTTAGTGTAAATTTGATTCTTAATGTAGATTTGTAAATGATCATAGCCAAACTCAGAGTTTTCACTATTGGGTAGTATCACAGATCATTACAATTACTCTGCTTTTGTTGAGTGTATTTTGTGATTTCTTTACTAACTAGCAAACATCACTGTGTTCATTCAGTTTGTCAAACTCTTTTCAGGTTATGTTCTCTATTTCCTCTTTAGGGAAAATCATTTATCTTTTACTGTCTCAATGTTGCAAATGCTAATTTGTTTACAGCTCATTTGTGGTGGAAAGACAGCCATGCATGCCAACTCATCCTCAGAGGCCACTGGTCTTGAAGACTGGAGTACAGTTCACTGTAAAGTTGAGGTAATAAAGATATAATTCCATACATTGTCTAGTGGGTAGTTTGCACCCTTAATTTCCTTTTCTAGAATTGTTATATAGGGTGGTCTAGAGGAAATAATTTTTAGAGGTCATTTTAATGTGAATTCTTACATTAAATAAGATTTTGTCTTATATGCTCAAAATAGAAGGATAGCCTATATATACATAGATATATATATACATATATTTATATATATATATGCATACACAGAGAGAGCTGCTGTGTTTTCCAATTATAACTGTAATACATGTTCATAGTTAAAAGGAATTCAGGATTGCAGAAGTGTAAATGATAGACACTAAAGTTTCCAGTAGCTTCACCCCTCTTGAGCATAGAGTCATGACCCTAAAACTGAACTAGCATATATGAATGAGGGTTACAATGTGTACATTTTTCTGGTGAGTCAATTCATAACTTTCATCAGATTTCCAAAGTGGTCTGTGATCTAAATATCTGTGGACCTCCACAGTAAACAGCCTGGTATCTATCCTCTCATAATTTTGTCCATGTCCACACAAATATTTAAACCCATGTATGTGTGTGTATGTATTTCACACATACACACACACACGAAATATATGATGTACAATATTTTATTTTTAAAGACCAGGGTCAATATACATTGTTAGTAGCCCACTTTTGTCCTTGGTAGAAATGTTTCCAAGTGAGCACGTACGACTTTGCTTATTCTGGTGAGCAGCTGCATGCTTTTAACCATTGGTCTGGAGATGAGCCACTATACCCTAAAGGGCTGGGCTTGCCTTCAGGGTTGGTCCTGGTCCTTTTTTTTTTTTTTTTTAACCAGGTACTGGTCCTCTGGCAGGCAGTGTTAACAGCAACCACACACAAGCACCTGTGGGATCCAGAACTCACAGTTGACAGGAGCAGTAGAAATCTTACCCCGTCACATGCTTGACTGAATGGAGCTGACTAGAGACATGAGGGTCCCCTCAACGCCATGGTCTCCAGCTGGTAGAATAGAAACTCACAGAGTCTTAGCATAGGGCTAAGATCTTTGATTTTTCCATACTACCTTGGGATGCTATATTGTGACCCTCCTTTTTATGATTATTGGTGATAGTTTTTATTTTCTTCCAATAGGACAGAAAATTAGATAGAAGTTTTATAAAAAGTAATGTTCACTATTTTTTACCCATATAAATTGGCCAAAGGTAAAAATTTTGATAAAACCCTATGTTGTTGTGGGTATATAAAGCAGCTATCTTCACTGAGTTTTGGTAGGAATATAAATCAGTGCTATGTTCCATCATAATTTAATGTTATGGTTTTACCTAAGCAATTACATAGCTAAGAATTGATTCTACACATACACTTAAAAAGAAAACTCAAGTAACATATAAATATGTTAATTTCGTTGTAATGACAAAAAAACTGGAGAGGAGGATTGGTTCATATACATATTCGTAGATGGGGAATTGGCATAAAATTATAGTCAATAATTTAATTAATGGCTGATTTTTCTTTCTAGACTGTTGGTGAAATTACAAGAGCTGAATTATAATTTGAAAGTCAAAGTCTTGTTTGATAAGTAAGATATCTTTAATATTATATAAGATATACTGAAATGCTATTTTGGTAACCAGATGTGGACTCCTCCACTAAATGAGCTGATTGACCAGCTGTTCAACAACTCTCTATATAGGGAAGGAGTTTGCCTTCCTGGGAATGTAAGACTGAGCACTAGCTCCTGACATTGATGTGAGCAGAGGCTCCTAGTCAGAACTATCAGAATCATTACAAATGATCCCAGCAAATTTAAATTCATGGCTCCCTTTCTGGTTGGAAACCTATTATCAACATGCTTGTGCTTTTTTAGACTAAAATGAACAAAAGAATGTGCATATGAGGTTGCAATCATCATGTCTCAAAGCAGCTGGACTTTGCACACCACTCCCTGTCCTAGGCCAGTGCCAGAGGAGAGACCCTTGATCAAACACAAAGCTACAGATTCAGGCTACCTGATTCTGTGGCCAGTTGTGAGGTTGTGTCTGGAGTGAGGTTAGAGGAATTTGAGTGGGGACTGCTATGTGGAGCCTGCTGCATTCACCCTTGACTCTTCTGAACATGGGGACCCAAAAATCTCTCATGTGGATCCCAATGTGGCAGCCCCATCCCATTTTGCTCTTAGATCCTAGTTCTGGACTAGACCTGACTTAGACACTTTACAGTAAGGAACAAGATGGCTTACCACCCTCAATGTGCCTTTTTTACTTTGTTACCCACAGGGACAGATTTGTTTTTTTCTTTATCTGTTGCATATATATTTACTTTTATATTTCTGTTAAAGCTTGCTTCAAAATTGAAATACATTTATATGATTGCATGTATGTTTTTTTTGCAGAGATGTGAATGAGAGAAATACAGTAAAAGGGTATGTGATACACTTTGTACTATACTTTGCAATTTTGTTTGTCTAATAGTGTAAAGCCTTTTAAGTATTTCTATCCTGCATTGTACAGATTTCGGAAGTTTAACATTTTGGGCACACATACAAAAGTGATGAACATGGAGGAATCCACCAATGGAAGTCTGGCAGCCGAATTTCGACACCTGGTAGGAAGACCAGTTTTCCTCTTGATCCTGTCTCTGATCTGTTAGGACTTTTGACACCAGAGGAGCATTTTGTGGCAGTGTTTCTTGTGGAAGGTGCCAACTGAACTTGCCAGACTTGGGGCATCTTGGTATCTCATTATCCCACAACTGTTCATTGTTTTCTGTCAGTCTTAATCTCAGAAACACTCCTTTGAGGCCATAGCTGTCTCAGAAAAATCGTTCATAAAACCATGTGGCACATAAATTATATCTGCACCTGCCACTTTCATGTTCTGTGGCAAGATACTGTGGATTCCTGCAGTATCATCAAGGTCCCTTGTCCTAACTGTTCTTCTCCCACTCTCTACGTGTGCAGCAGCCTGACTCTACCACTATTCCCAGAGAAGGAGGCCCCAACAGTTTGTTGTAAGTGAAGGAAGGGCTGCTAGGTATTTCTGAGGCTCCCAGTGCTGGGGCTGAACTTGAAGGGAGGTTAAAAGTACCCTTATGACTGGAGACCATCTTGTGAGCCTATAAACCTCATGGCTAGGGAACTACATATTGTGTGAGAGCCTTGCTCCAACTTGGGAGCACATCGCTTCTTGAAACTTCAGGGATTGAAGTCCATTTGAGGGCAGGCTTAGTTGACCAAGAGTCGCTGGGCCAAGTCTGGAAGAGAGGAGGAAGAGAAGCTGTCTCCTGAGCTGGGGGCATGAAAGTGAAGGTGCTTGGGAATCACTGCATGGAGGAAGGAGTAGGATGCAGTTCCTTGGGATCTCTCCATACCACATGCTATCCACACCCCATCAGGTTGCTAGGAGAGGTACCGTGGCTCACAGACCCAGACAAGGGCTATTTTGCCTCTTGTTCTGCATTGTAAATATACTGTCATATCCTTTTTTCTAATCTTGACTTTGGTCTGATTTGTAAATAAAGACATCAACTTTGATGATTAACTTGTAATTTACTAAGATGTTTTTTGTTTCATAGCAACTGAAAGAACAGAAAAATGCTGGCAACAGAACTAATGAGGTGAGAGTCTCTGGGTTATGAGTGGGCCCTAACCAGGCAGGTATATCCAAGGAGAGCAGGTCATTGCCCTGAGTGGTCTGGGGATGCCTCACAGGGGGGCTCAGACCCAGCACAGAAAGGCATCTGACATATCTGTGATAACAATAAAAAAAGCTCTGCCTTCCTGCTTTATTGTTGTTAAACAATTTTGCTCACAATGTCATTGGACCCAGACGGGCAGTCCAGTGTGATAGGGCATTGTGGGTCTTTACATCTTCTGGATGGGGAAATTGAGTGACAGTGAGGTTGCAGGATTTAGCTAAGGGTGCATAGAGACTTACTGTCAGCTGGCATGAGAGGCCTGTCTATGACTGATGCTAAAGAGTGAGCTCCCGCTGCTGCATCCAGACCTAACAACATTGTCTTTTTATAACCTGATCCTAAATGAGTTGTGTTTGTGGTGCATTGAAAAATGAACTATGGACAAAGGACACAATGTCTGGAGTTGTTTTTGTCTGGAACCTTTTTCTGTCCTTTGTGTGTGCATAGGATGCTGTCATTCCAGATCATGACCAGTGGGGGGCACTGGAACAATGAGACAAACACTGACCGGTACAGTGCAGAAAACTAGCACTGGTTTGCAACTTAACTGTCTTTTTGAGCTTCTGGGTCTAGTAGCTGCATCTCCCTAGTTCTAAGTCAGTTTGATACTTATAGGAAGTAATGTGTACATGAAGGCATTTTGAAATCATCCAGTTCTACCCAAACTGAAAACTAGGCTTATGTGAGTTAGCCTCTCCAGCAGAGAATCACACCTGAAACAGATGTGCACTTTCTACTCTCCTGCAAAGTCTGAGGTCTGCCCAGTGAGCAGGCAGGTAAAGAAGCCTTAGCTTGTGAATAAACCTATTAAAAGCTGTTATTTCCCCACTGATTTTTTTTCTCTTCCTGAATCACTAACCCTTGCAGTAATTTCAGACATGTTACTTTGAGAGAACACTGAGAAGCTTGGAATAATTAAATCTATGGTAGGTTATTGATTATCAGTCTCCTAAGATACAGCCCTTAGGCCCAAAATCTCTGCCACCTGTTTGGATTTTGAGAGTTGCTGGATCAGTGAATGAATTATTACATTCTTTTTCTTTTTTTCTCTCTTTTTCTCATCTAAGGGTCCTCTCATCGTTACTGAAGAACTTCACTCCCTTAGTTTTGAAACCCAGTTGTGTCAGCCAGGCTTGGTGATTGACCTCGAGGTAAGACTTCCAGGATTCCAAGGTAGAAAACTATTTAATTTTAATTCTAACGGCCACATGTACTTTTATTTTTTAAGTTTTATTGTAGAGATATTTATCAGTTGCTAAAAAAGATAATTTTTTAAGATAATACTGTCTTGACATTAATTTAATGATCCAGGAAGCTAGAGAATTGAATTAAATTTCAAATTCTAAGCTAAGTGTTCAGTTGAGATAGCCTATTTTAAACTTTTTATCTTAAGCATTGGGACTTATTTCTTAACTGAAAGATCTATTAAGGATAAACTGTGAACAAAAGTACATAGCTGTACATTTTAAATTTTTAAGTGTAAAATATATGCAAAATAACAAATACTCCAGTGCTAATTTTTGAGGCTAAACAACTGTCTGAAGGTGATAGATTGTGATTCTAATGATCTCAAGGTCTTTGTCAACTTTTAGACAACATCTCTGCCTGTCGTGGTGATCTCCAATGTCAGCCAGCTCCCCAGTGGTTGGGCCTCCATTCTGTGGTACAACATGCTAGTGGCAGAACCCAGGGTATGGAAAACACATTTTGTTTTTGTACCAGGAGTTAACCAAGACCCCACATTTTAGCTGCTGCTTCTCCAAAATAGCCCTGATGGCCAGATGTTAAGAAGGAAGTGACAAACTCATGTGGCATTGCTAAGGATTTTGAGTAATTCTGGACAAATAAAGCAAGTACATGTGTTAAAATGAGATCAGTGAGTTCCTTCCATGGGAGTTCCTTCCATAATGATTTTAAATACCTTTTATTGTAGAAGAAGTCTTTTTTTTAAAAAATGAGTATCTCTATTATGATACACTCTTAGAGCATGGATTTGTACTGCTGGTTAATCACAGTTGATTCTCATTATTTAAAGTACTTCTGTTCTTTAAAGTCATCAGAAACACATATTTAGCAAATACTGAATCATTGCTCCTGAGGGAAATACAAGGTTAGGTTCCCGTGAGCCTCTGATTACAACATTTTTGTCAACCCATTGACACATAACTTGTGTTTAAAAGCACCTTATCTAATATTATTTGATGATCCATTAATATTGACCTTACAGCCACTAGCACTGTGATGCATGTCTGAACAAAGCTTATGTAACACACAAATTTTTTCCTTAAGGTACATCACAGAGTTCTTGTGCATAGCAACATCAGAATAGCACTTTAGTGGTATACTTGAGCACCATTTTAAACACTTAAATCACTAATAAAAATCAAGTGTGGTGGCACACACCGGTAGTCCCAGAACTTGGGAGGCAGAGGTAGGAGGATCACAAGTTCTAGGCCAGCCTGAGCTACACAAAAAGACCTTGTCTTTAAAAAAATTAAATAAATAAAAGCAAATTAACATATACATGTTTTAGTGCCATGGCACTAAACAAGTGCACAAAGGACACTTGTTTGCAATATCAGAGCTGAACAAAAAGCCAGAATGTGTATTTGTTCCACCTCACTTGGGAACGTAAATGTTGAGTGTTATTCTTTGCATGAGCATGTTCTTCAAATGACCACAAAGGTACCTCGAGTATTGATTTTGGAGTTCCAAATAAATTTTAGTGAGTAAACAAGTTCACAAATGTGAATCTACTAACTCTGAGAATTTTCACTGACTGAAAATACGTGTGTCATATAAGCCAGAACTGAACCTGGGAGTGGGCTCATCTTGTAGTCCCTCACTTGTAAACTGGCAGCACTTCCATGACCCCTAGATTTGGGTGTTTTTCTTCTAGAATCTGTCCTTCTTCCTCAACCCACCATGTGCACGATGGTCTCAGCTTTCAGAGGTACTGAGTTGGCAGTTTTCATCAGTCACCAAGAGAGGTCTAAATGGGGACCAGCTGAGCATGTTGGGAGAGAAACTTCTTGGTATGAGCATATAAACTTTTTGTGTATTCAAAAATTTAAATCCATTCAAATATCTCTACTTGCTCTTTCAGCCCTCTTTGTTCTCTATTTTGCTAAATGCAGGAGAGTTAAAATCTGTTTTTCAAGCTATAGTTTATTGTAGCTAAAGGCAAATCATACCTCACCTTAGAAAGAAATATAGACCGGATAAAAGAGTTAAATGAATCCTTCTGACATTGTTTTATAATAACATTTCTGAGAAAGGGGAAGTTTTTGGATTATGTAAAATACATTATTTATAGCTTTCTCTTGATAAGAAAGATGAGGTCTTATTATCCTTCGACAAAAAAGGCTGGTGATACAGCTCAGTGGAGATACAAGGAAGGAAGGAACGGAGGGAGAGAGGAAGGGAGGGAGGGAGAAAAGGAGGAAGGAAGGGAAGAAGAGAGGGAGGGAGGAAGGGAGGAAGGAAGGAAATCCTTGACATGGTAGGAATAAGGTTCTAGATTTATAAACCTAAGGCTCTTGCATCAAGTGGGCCCAGGTAGCAGGAGACCCTACCATCTACACAAGGGGTACCCTTTTGACTAGCAGTTTTCCCTGATTAAGCAGTCTAGACCATGGCAGTAATTCCCAGCTCCCCGGCTCCTCTTTTTCCTTTTGGTAGTGAAGTTTGTTACAAAAGGAATACACTTTTGATAGACTGAAAGCAGTTGTCTCTAAGTAAGAACTAGAACAACCAGTAATTCCCTTTCAGTGGCTAATGTCAATGGGCCACTAGCCTCTAAGTCAGATCTTTTAGTGAATGGGAGTATCTAAATCATGTCTTTAAAGATCCATGGACTGCTCTTGTCTGGATTTGCCTTGTGTGTGGCAGGTCTGCATATAGTATAGACACAAATGGAGAGCTGAGAGAAATCTGTAATGTCTAAAATAAACTTATAAAGTCAAGTATCACTTAAAATGATCACCCAGGGATGATGTTGGTCTTATTTTGAGCTTCAGAAAAATTCTGTAGTGTCTTTGGGAGAGGCGACTCTACTGAGGCAGTTGTAGGAAGCAGTGGGAAACCATAACTAGACAGGGAGGGACCAAATGGAGCTTCTCTAGAGAGCTTTGCAGAGAGGCCTTGGTTTAATGCCATACACAGTCAGTTGGGACGTGTGTGTAACAAGAAGAAGGATTTAAGAGAATTGTATTTTCTTAGAGAAGTAGGCAAAGGGGCTGACAGGGAGGAAGCATATGGTGAAGCTTTGTGATGCTTCCACTTTCCCTGAAAACTCTCATAATCATGGTGCCTAGTAATCTGCCATCCACTCCATCATGCCATTAAAATCAAACCAACAGCCAAGTGTGGTGGCACTCATCTGTAGTCCCAGAACTTGGGAGGCAGAGGCAGGAGGATCACAAGCCAGCCTGAGCTACACAGAAAGACCTTGTCTTTAAAAAAATTAAATAAAATCAAATCAACATATACATGTTTTAGACTATTTTAATTATGTTTTTTCCTAATATGGATTATAATTATTCATCAGTGTACCTGAGAATATCAGCCATGTACGTACAATATACCTTTGTGGGGAATTAGTCCGTTTCTTCAGGATCAAATATAAAAGCTATCAGTCTAACCAGATTATCAGAATCAAGTTCTGTTTGCCAAAAAAGCTTCTTTTTATTTGTTTAGGTCCTAATGCTGGCCTTGATGGTCTTATTCCATGGACCAGGTTTTGTAAGGTGGGTTCTGCCTAGGCTTGGTAACTTCTGAGTTCTTTTCACCTTCTGTTGAGGCTGGGGTAGTTAACTATTTGCTTATTTTGGCATTTTTATCTCTAGCCCATTGAGCCCCTAGGGCAAGTTGTTTACTTTCCTTCTGTGCAGGAGGTTGGTCTACAAGCAGAGGCTGACAGGAAGCACCTGCCTGAGTGATAACATTCTTTCATATGTGAAATGAGTCTTCAGTTCCCTCACACCAGTATTTGCCCAGCAATGTTTTGGCCATGAGCACGTGAAATGTGTGCATGGCCTGACAGGCCAATGACTTTTTCAGAGCCTGCTCAAGCAGAGGACCTGTAGGAGAGAAAAGTTAGACTCTGTTGGGGTCACCAGCCAGCTGACCAGCTCACTCTCCTGGGCTTTACTGTGTGAGGGCAGCTTTTGTTTCCCTGAGTCACACTGGAGGTCATCCCTTGCTAGTTTGCAACTGTTTGGGGAGGGAAGTAGAGCCCTGCATGGAAACGGAGAGCTCCAGGTCTAAATGCTGATAAGAGAGAGACCCAGGCATTCCCTGCCAAGAAATCACTGTGCCTGAGCTAGAGCATCTTTGCAAGTTAAATCCAGGGGTGGGAGGGGGTGTATGGTCAGTCACTGTTTTAGATTTCTTTGCTCTGAATGTATGCATTTTTATGCTTACAGGAAAATATTAATGATAAAAATTTTTCCTTCTGGCTGTGGATCGAAAACATCCTAGAACTCATTAAAAAACATCTGCTCTCTCTCTGGAATGATGGGTAAGGGCCACTGAGAGATGTAGTTTTGAAACACATTTTTAGAATATGCTTTCTTGCTGCAAGGCTGAGAAAAGCCTGATCAGGCTTCATTATTTGATAGAATTTGTGTGCATATGCACACTTTCATATTGTCAAAGCTTTATGAGAGTGGAACTTTGTAATATTAAACTTATACTTTTTAGTATGTATGTATATATATTTGCAAACCTTAATTAAAACAAAAACCTCTGAGTGTCATGCATTCATTCATTCAACAAAAATTTTTTGAGCACCTACTTACTATATTGGCCTTAGGAAAGAAACAAAAACCGTTTCCAAGTCGGTAAATTGTGTCTATCTGATTCACTCTCAGGATCAGCTGATATTTCACTAAAAGCTTACATTGATCAGAGGTGCTAGAATCTGAAAATATATTTATTGTCTGAGTCTTCCTCTCCAATATGAGATGCATAAATCCAGCTATTTTCATGGTCTTTAAAATGATCAAGTGACAATAAAAGGTCCATTAGTCCAGGACATATTTAATAATCATCTGTAGCATCCTACAAATACCATGTTCATTTTTGGTTTTCTTTTTTAATTGAGAATGTACATGTGTAAGTGAAATGCTTCCTTAAGTGCTAATTAAATGCACTTTAAAATAGTCTATACTGTTTTATCATATATTCTCTTGTAAAGTTGCAGTACTTTTCTTAGTTTGTAAATTAACATAAAAATTAAAATCATGTTTGAATTACAAAGTGCCTCTGTCAATCTCCTCAATATCTAGGTGCATCGTGGGCTTTATCAGCAAGGAGCGAGAGCGCGCTCTGCTCAAGGACCAGCAGCCAGGGACATTCCTGTTGAGGTTCAGTGAGAGCACCCGAGAGGGGGCCATCACGTTCACGTGGGTGGAGAGATCCCAGAATGGAGGCGGTGAGTGAAAGTGACTGGAGCACACATACAGGTGCACCACCCATGTCTGGAATCCTTCTCCATTGCTGTAGATCAGCCCATGTGAATAAAGAGCTTTGAATATGAATTGCAGATCCTATGTTTATCTTAACTGAGCCCCCCAGAGGGGATTTAATAAACTACATGAAGGCTGGTGATTTACTGCCTGGAACATACTATGGAAATGATTTTTTTTTTTAAGGCCAGGTTCTTTCTTTTCCTTTCTGTCAGATTTGTTATCTGCAGATCAAGGATATGAGTCAGTATAATCTGAAACCAGTTCTTGGAAGGGATCACATTTCCCACAGTACAAGATTCCAGACTTGCTCATTCCAGAGTAAAGTGCCCGGGTGAGGACAGGTTTTGTGAGAAGACTTCCTGTTGATTTTGTCCACACACTCCATTAGCACGGGCTGGATACAGGGACTGTTGGATTGAGCTGCAACCCCCCACCCTGCCTTCAAGCACAGCAGATGCACATGTGTTTGTTATATATTAGAATTCTATTTAATCAAATGAGTCCAGAAACCTTGGTGCTACAAAGCAAGTTTCTGGAGACAAAGCTGAACAAAGCAGATGAAAAAACGATAATGCTAAAATGACTACTTTTCATGGTTGCTTATATTTTGTTTAGAGGACTGAGGGAAAAACTGATTTATCCCAGTGACTTTTATATTTTCAGTGGATAGATTTTTAAAGATTGGATACTTTTCTTCTAATTACCTTTTCTTCTGATGAAAAAGCATGAGGGCTGGGATTAGAGCCTAGTTTAGGCTACTTGTTGAAGCCTGCCCATTTTCTCTTTTCCCAGATAGTTCTTTTTTTGAAGCAGCTGAGAGATGGAGCTAGCAAGCCAAAAAGAGAGAAAATGCTTGACAACCAGGAAAGTTTAAGCAGGGCAGCAGTAGCTAAAAAGATTTAGGATATAGTATAGTCAGAAGTTCTAGAGAGAGCTCTGAGCAGCAGCCTCTGAAACATGCATACCCAAAAGTGAGATTCTGGTTAAGTCAGGAAGAAGACCTAACTTACTAAGTCTGGGAATAAGAACAGGAGTGAATTGAACTGTGGCTCATTATATTATGGATTAGAGGAAAAAGATTCTAATTAGCATAGAATCTTTTGCTGTTTCAAAAATTGTTTTCTGTATATAATCATTTAATTTAAAAAGTCCGTTTTTCTTTTGAAAAACAAAAGGTGACCTTATGTTTTAGTAGCTTTAACCTATGGCTTGAGTCAAGATGATCCAATTAGTAATAAGTTATTTAACCACTGATAGGCTGTGTTTTGTTTAAAGATATTTAACCAACCTATTTTGACCAGACTTATAAATATCAGCAAATAAGGACAAATAAGTTGTTATCTAGAGGAAAGACTTTCTTTGTTTTTCCTCTTTTAAAGACATAATTAAAATTTACTTAGAATTAAAGAAAGCAGTACATTAAGTGTGTGGTAGCTCCTAGATCATAGTTCTCACTAGGCTTACTCAAATCCAGGCAGTCTGCAGAGTTTTGTTTCTCTCTTTGTCATTTTGGCCTCACTACATTTTTCTTCTTTTTAGAGCCTGACTTCCATGCAGTTGAACCCTACACGAAGAAAGAACTTTCTGCTGTTACTTTCCCTGATATTATTCGCAATTACAAAGTTATGGCTGCTGAGAATATTCCAGAGAATCCCCTGAAGTATCTGTATCCAAATATTGACAAAGATCATGCATTTGGAAAGTATTACTCAAGGCCAAAGGAAGGTAAGTGGGTAGCAAGCAGTCACTGCCCTAATGAGAAAGAGCACAGCATACTCCTGTACTCCTTCCTGGTGGTGGGCTGTGTTCTCAGATTGGCTCTTTTTTTTTTTGGTGGGACTGGGGTTTGAACTCTGGGCTTTGCACTTTCAAAGCAGGTACTCTACCACTTGAGCTACACCTCCTGTCCTCATATTGGCTCTTGACATACTGTAGGTGGAAGGTGCTTGCACAAACACTTGCAGTGCTGTCACTCACCCACTATTCTCTGTGAATTGGTAAAAACAGGCTTTCAAAATATGGTATAATCTTGGTGCAGTTGGTATGAAATGCATTATTTGGCCTCATGTAGCTAGTGAGAAATGAATACATAATTTCCTGTTTTAGAGGTATTGGGAAAGTCCATTTTCTGGTTCTATGTTTTTGTTACATTATTACTTTTTCCATATGAAAGTGATAAAGGACCATGGCCGACTGATTTGTGCCTTCCTTCTTGTATTGAAATTAAGGAAACTGTGGTCTATAGTGAAGTGGTTTATCAGGGGACCCACTTACTTGTTAGATCCTGTTGTTGTCACTATTCTTAAGGAGGCTTTGTTTTAGTATATAAGTCTTCTGCTTCTCAGAAGCATCTTAATTGCATTTGACAAAGTTCAAGTTAGGCCCATCTAGTTTTGGAACATACCAAAAGTGATTGTTTTTTAGAATTTTAGGACAGTTACTTTGGAGTGAAGTTGCCTTCAATTGACCTTGACAGTTAGTTGTATACTCCATCAACTTAGAGAGAACTTAGTATCTGTGAGCTCTACCTTCTTGTAGGATTACAAGTCTAAAGCTCCCAGCTAGACTTCTGAAAATCTTTTCCCTTTTTAGTTGCTTCTCAATTCCTACCAGAATTTTAGGTAACTCAGGCAGGGAGGTCAAGACCCTTTAAAGTTGTAGGACTCTAAGCTGTAATTGTTCTGTTCTTGTGTAATTTCTGTTAATGCAAAGTATACATGATGTGCTTACTTCTAGCTCCAGAACCAATGGAACTCGATGGCCCTAAAGGAACTGGATACATCAAGACTGAGTTGATTTCTGTGTCTGAAGTGTAAGTGAACACAGAAGAGTGGCATGTACAAAACCTCAAGCCAGCCTTCCTCCTGGCTGGGGCCTGTTGATTGTATTTTGCTTGTATTTTGTTTTTCCATTGTACTTGCTGTTGCCATCACCGTTGAATTTGTTGGAAAGATCCTAATTAGAGGCCCTGGTATCACTGCTTATCAGCATTTTACTGCCTTAAAAAAACAAAAACAGAAACAAAGAAGCCAAAGTTGTCTGTAAGGTATATAAGTTTTTCCCAAACTGATACTTCGAAAAAGTATAAATAAAATGAACAAAAATTGATGAGTGGGAAAGTAGTTCTTTTCAATCTAGAAAAGGCCAAAGTAATGACTGAGATACATTTTCTCCTCTTGCTTTTATTTTGTTGTTTCATTTCATAAAAGGTAGAAAAAGTTTTGGAAAGTCATTGTCAGTTATTTGGCTTGCAGCACTGTCTTGGGGTGAATGGATGTAGCCTTCATGTAAAAGCACTCTGTGGAGCAGCTTTATCTGCATACAAACCTCAAGGTAGGGATGAGGGACTCCCCAGACATTTCTCTGGTGCTTTTCTGTCCAGGTTAAGCCACAAGACACTGTCATCCAGGATGATATGCTGCACATGCTCACATGGAGGCTTTACCAGGCAGCAGCGGCACAGGGTCCAGTCTTAAATATTGTTCACTTAACATCTGCAGATCAGTACATCCCAAGGGGCTGGGCCGGGGACATAAACATCCATTATCTGTACTTTTTCAGATGTGTTTTTGTAAAGTATGTGCTTCTCTGAAATAAATATAAAGTGATCATTCAATTGCAGACAAAAGATAAAATTTAAGTTTGCACTGCTGCCTTCATAACTCGTGTTAATATTTCCCTTTCCTTTCTCCCTGTTTTAGTCACCCTTCTAGACTTCAGACCACAGACAACCTGCTCCCCATGTCCCCAGAGGAGTTTGATGAGGTGTCCCGGATAGTGGGCTCTGTAGAATTCGACAGTATGGTAAGTACCACAGCAGGGACAGTCCTGCCCTTGGAGAGCATGTGCCCGCCGAGGCAGCCGGGAAGATCTAGGGCCTGTGTGTAAGGAGCATCTGGCGAAGACAAGGAAAGGGCATATTTTAGAGCCTTGACAAGTCAGAGCCTGCTGTGCTTTAAAAAGCTACATAATCAGCAAGATTTTTATTCATGGCATTCAGCACCCTCCAAAAAAATAGGTGACATTTAAAATATTTGTTTCCCCTTCTGCCCTTTGAAGTAGAAAGTTCTGTCCAGATAGAAATTTCGTATGTTAAGGAACTAAGGTTTAGGCTTAGCAGTGTGGCTCAAGTGGAAGAGAGCTTGAGCCTGAGTTTACACTAAGATTTTTCTGATGAAGTGTTTTTCTTTGGCTTATTTTATCACTGGGTCAAGGTGAAGAAGCATTATCTTTAGGAAGGAGTTATATTTTTAGGAACTAAAGCTTGCCAGTGAAAGTTATATATACTTAGCAACAACAAAGCAACTTCACCTGCTTTATATTTGAAAACTAATTTGTACTGCTAGCCCCTGAAGCTGTGAAGCACTTGCCCAGAATGAATAGTGTTTCATGAATAACTAGGCACATAATTGTTTGCAAAAGAAAGAATCTTCTTTTGGGAGAATGTCTTTAAGTATAATAAGTAGGATTGTTTGCCTTTTAGCCTGAGATCCTTCCTCATAAAGATTTTGTTTGGTTGGCTGGATTTTTGCTGACGCTATTTAATTTTAAGCTTTTCCACATGGAGTTATTCCAGTTCATTTTTAAAAGTTTGTTTAATTCCTTTAAAAAAATTCTGACTGAGTTATTACTAGGGCCTTTCTTCATCACTGTGCGCCTGGTACCTGGCAAAAATATGTGCTCAATAATGACAGGAAGTTAGCAAGGGGAAAGGGTGAGAGAGGGGCAAGGGGTGTCTCTGTGAAAACCCTCAGGGCCATATATCCTTTAGGGAATGCATTTATATGGCCTCAGTAGTACTTACTTGGATTCAAGTTTCTTATGTGTAACTTTTTGTCTTTTCCCTCACCTTATGAAACACAGGCTAAAAATCTTGTATCTTCCTAATGGTTGAGGGTGAAAAAAGTTACTTAGTGTGACAACAAAATTGTTCTGTTCTTTTGGCAAAATGAACCGTTTATCTGTATAAGGTACCATCTCAACACTGTTATAAAAATACCTATGAGCCTGACACAAAAAAGTGGAATGAATGTAAAGTTTGATTCAGAAAATGCGATGGAATCAAAAAACAGTGTGATCTTCTTTAGCCCTTTTTTATTATTTCGGAGCAAATTACAAGCATCATTATCACCACAACAACCATTGAGAGGTGGCATTTATCAAGTACTTCCCATATGCCAGGTACTTCCTCACAAAAAGCTTTTGAGTATTGACTAAGATGCAGTAGGAAGTAAATGGTAGAATGAGTGTTTGAACCCACCTGGTACGTATCTAGAGTGAAGCTCTTATCTACCATCCTAGAGTGCCTCCCAGAAATAGTCAAACTTAGCTTCATTCAAAAACATGCACCTTGCAGAATCTGTTTGCACAGGATGAAATGTTTTATTCTGTTTATTAAGATGAAGGCAGACCAGCCTCTGGTAAAATCCCTCTGATTGAGATTTGGCAGGTAAAGTTCCAACTCTGTCATCACCATTGTTCCCTGTGCCCTTGAGAAAATAGGATGGATTAGTTCCCTTCATCAGTGCAAGCATTCGGACTGCTCTCAGAATGAGATTTGTGAATTTTGAATACTGTGAAAAATGTCAGGAAATAGGTTTGTGGTCTTTGGATGCCCTGTAACCATTCCATTCGATTCCAGATGATTTCATTCATTTTATTTGTAGAATAAAAATAAGTCTATCACATACCTCACTAAAATTTCCAGGTGAATCCATAGAAGACCTAAAGAGCTAAAAGTGGCTACAACAGAGGCACTGGTTAGACAAAAAAATCAGTCTAGATTCAATTAAGTTGACTTCACCATAGTTTCCTTTGTCCTTAGTCTTGACTGTGACTTCCATTCAACATCCATTCTTAGAATTAAGGCATATGCCCTCAGATGGAAGCAATTCTCAGAGCTGACTGATTTTCACCAAGTCTGGAAACTGTAGCTCTAGACTAAAGTGGAGCCAGAGTCTGATGCCTGATGCAACCTTAGAGTAAGAAGTCCATAGGCTCCTGAGGAAATTGTTCAAGAGAGCCAGAGCACTGGTTTCTGCAGCATGACTTGGGTATTTGATTAGTCTGGATTTCCTGTACAATAAACTTTCTCTCTGGACTAGAATAGAACCAGTGTACTCTCCTAGAGCCTTTTGTCCAGAGCTCATAATAAGAACATTTATTATCTACTATTTTTCTTCTATACTTGGCATTTTACATAGGCTGTCTAATTCAGTCCTTTCAGCAAGCCTAACTTGGTATGATTATCCATCTTTTAATAGATGAGGACTTTTAGATTTAGAGAGGTTGAGTGACAGGCCATAGTCACACAGTGACAGGATTTGAACCAGGGTTCTTTTCCTCTTTTCTCCCACCCCTAAAGTAAACCATCTTAACTACAAATTTTCACTGTCAACCAGGCTGTAACAGAGAGGCAAACCCTTTCATGTGCTTTTTAATCCAAAATAATTTTCTTAAGATACTTCTATGTACCACTTACCATCAAGTGCTTGGGATATGGAAAATCTCTCAAGAGACTTTACAGTCTAGTGTTGTGTGTCGATCATGGTACTCTTGGTATTTGGGGCGAGAGAATTATTTGTTGTGGGTCTGTCCTGTGCACTGTATGAAGTTTAGCAGTATCCCTGGCATCTACTCACTAGATAGATGGCAGTAGCAATATACCCCACACCCAGTCATGACGATCAGAAGAGTCTTCAGACATTGCTGGGGACAGACTCATCCCTGATGGAGAACAGCTAAACATCTAGGGAAAGACCAGTATGGAAGTCAGACAGTCAAAGTCAGGCCAGGATTCTTTAATAAGCAATTTACAGACTATAAGTTGGTCTATTTAAGGTAGATGGACAGAGGCACTAGTGGGGGAGGGGAAGGGGTTTACAATAATTCTCCTTCTCTGACCTGTATCTAAAACACTTTACCTACTGAGTGACCTTTAAGGGAATTTCACCAATTCCCTCTCACCCCCTCTCCCTCTGGCATATAGCTCAGCATTTCCTCACCCTTGTTTTGCATGGGCAGATTTGCCACATTGCTGTGTCCCCAGACTTGCATAACAGCAGAAAGCTTTATACAGTCTGCCTGGATGGATTCACAAAATTAAGCCAGCAGACTGGAGAGCAATAATCCATCAGCTTAGGTGATATAAAAGGTCTTGATTACTCTAGGAAAATGGGTAGGAAATGCTGAAGGCCCTCTAATTCCATGGTGGTTATTTGTTGCTGGAAGCATCTTTTTACTACTCCATTCTAGAATAGACAATAATGTTAAATATATGAATCTGCATGTCACAGGATCTGTGTAATGAACCTAATCACATTTTGTCTTTTTACAGATGAGTGCAGTGTAAACGTGAATTTCTCTCATCTTCTCTGGCAACGTTTTTCCTTCCCATCTGTGATTCCCTCCTGCTACTCTGTTCCTTCACATGCTGATGTTTCTAGGGAAATGAAAGAAAGGACAACAAATTTGCCGCAACCTATTGATAGCAAGTGGATGTTTCTCTAATTCAGAAACCTGTTACTCTGAAGGGCTTCATACATCTTATTGAAGGTGAAATGGAAAGGCATTTCAGAGTGGATTTTTCAAATGAAAAATATCAAGCTATGCCCAAAGCATCAGGACCAGAATGAGATTCCTTTGGGAAAGGTGAGAGTTTAGCAACATGTAGCAAATGCTATGCATAAAGTCAGTTCCCAACCATTTTAGGTCATTGGATTGATACATGGTTATTTAGGGAAGCACTTGATGTAGGAATGGTGAATTTCTGTTCTGGAGGGAACTCTTTTGTGTTCTCTCTGCTTTAAATATAGCTGGAAGTTTTCTCTTGCTTTACCTATGTCACAGTTTAAAGCCAAGTTTATGTACAATGATATATCAACACTTTATCAATGGTAGCCACCCTGTATCTGAGCAGGAGGAAAAAAAAGTTATATTCTTTATTTTATTACATCTTCCACACAAACCATTTAAGACTAAAGAGAAATTTGTAGAGAATTAGTTTTCTTGTTAGTTATGACTGAATGAAACTGGCTAATATCAATAGAAGGAAGTGAATTTTCCAAATTTATGAGTAGTGTTTCTGTTTAATCTTTAATATCCAAAGCTAAATGTTTCCTGCTTTCATCTTTGTCACTAGTGAATAAAATTGTCTTTGCACTTATATTGAGGGAGCCAGGCAACAACTCTCTTAAGGCAAATCTTACTTTTTAAAAAATTAAAGTTAGAAATATAGATAAACCAGGAAATTTAATTCATGTTTCCTAAACGGATTAATTTGTCCTTATTGTAAGCTGGAAGTCTGGCCATAAAATTGAGAAAGGAATAGAAAAGTAGTAACTGAAACTTAAATCATCAACCAGAGATAATGTGAGAATCAAATATTATCAAAACTCATGTCCTATGTAACTGCATTGAGAATTGCAAATTTTCCACTGATAAATATGTTTTTCTGACAATTACATTTGCAAATGGTTCCATGATCTCTCCTGTGCTTTTTCCAGACATGTTTTGGATTGGATGGATGATGTTTTGTGTTGTGTACTATGTTTTTTATCTTCTTCCTTCGTTAACACTGATACACAACAGTGATTTAGTAGATGGGTTGACAGGATTCTTCTGCATTATTTTCACATGTGCTGTTTATATGGCTGTACCTCATTTCTTCATCACCACCACAACTATGTTGTTATGTAAATGCAGGGCTTCTCTCTGGTGAAGATAAAGTTTCCTTGAAGTCTAATTTAAAATGAAAGCCTCAGTATATTTATTGCATTAAATGTAGTATGCATATAGTACTCTTCTTCGTAATACACACAAATGGAGGCCTTCTTTCAGTTTTTACATAGTGTGAACCTGGCTGGGTTTTGGCTGACTTTTTAAATGGAAATGATTGAGAAACAAAACAGCTTTTAAAAAATATTATTTCTAATTGCTGTGATTTAACTATTTTGTTATATTTTTTACTCTTTGAGAATGATTTGGCATGGTTTCATTTTACTGCACTAGCCAAAAAACTGTTTATTTTTAGGAAGTATTAAAAATTTTTTTTAAAAAACAATCACAAAATACAGGTTTAATTACTTTTAAACCTAGTGGAAAAAAACCCTACCAAAAAACCCCCAATGTAAGTTCTCCAGTAAGACTTGCTATTCTGAATAATGTGACTTTCTAAGTTCTATAAACGTAATAAAAGTTTTAGAATACACGCAGACACTTAGGAAGAGGAAGACTAATTCCTTGGAAATGATGATCAAGTAGGACAAAATCACTTTTTGAAAAGCTGAACCTTTTTACAATTAGATTTTAGCAGATTATTTTGCCACTAATCAAAACAAGTAATGTGCAAATTACTTAAGTTCTAGAATGTAAAAGGGAAGAAACTGACTTTAGGGAATCACTGGATAGTACAGAAATGAGATTTACTTATTTTGTAGAAATAAAACTAACACCAATTTGTTTTGTACAAAAGAAGCTTGATAGAAGTATGAAAACAAGCATAACAAATTATACCCATAAAAGACTCGATCATGTCTGAAACACCATATTGCTTCTAGTAGACACAAAAAGCAGAAATTTGTTTCTAAAATACTGCTGCACAGATGAGTGATGTTAGCATAAACTTTACTTAAGTTAAAATCTGATTCAGTTTGCTGGTGTAACCAAAGTAGAACATAAGATATTATAAAGGCTCAATTCAATGCAATCACAAACCTTGAAGGTACTTTATTGTAATGTCACAAACCATTTTAGGGAGTGTTCTAGAAGTCTATTAAAATAAACCATACTGACTAGATGTTCTTCTTACCATCTCTGCACTGAATGAAAACACTATGATTATAGACATATTTTATAAGTAGAAGATTGACATTCTAAGTCATGCCATTTGATTTTATAAAAAGTTCTAGTAGAACACCTCATCTTTAAAAGTCGTAGAGGAGCTTTACAATAATTCTTAAATATACTAATTCTGTGAGATCCAGCAATCAAATATTAAAACTTGAAAGTAGAACTAAAATTTTGGTAATGACCACATGCTTTATATTACACAGGAAATATATACCCATGTACACAAAAAGTGAACTCTACAAAGACAACTTCTAAAAATACCAATTCACAAAGGACCATGTAGAATGTGACTGAATACTTTAACAATTAGACTTAGTGGTTAAAATCACATTGCAGTCCTCTGTGATTCTGAAAAATTTTTCCAGTGCCTTACAAAAACTAGAAATATCTGATTAAATTTATGAAGATTCCCTATTGAGCATAGATTTTATTGTAAATTTGATATAATCAACTTAATTTACTGAATATGAAAATTAAGTTTTTCCATGTGACCTAGCTTTTTGTCCTCTGTTACCTATAAACCTCAAAATAACATTTTCGGTCTGAGATAGTATGTACAGGTCAGGTGTGGTGGCTCATGCCTAAAATCCCAGCACTTGGGAGGCAGAAGCAGGAGGATCTCAAGTTTGAGGTCAAACCTTATCTCAAAAAAGGGTGGGGGTGGAGGATAAAAACAGGTAATACATAAAAGTGGTTTTCTTGTGTGTTGAACAAAAGTTGAAATTGCTTAAAATTTCCCTGCCACTTAAGCCAAACAAGTTTAATAACTGTAAGTTTATACCATTAGTCCCCAGACATGGTACATGAATAATTGAATATTTGTTTGTAAACTGAAGAAACCATTGAGACATCAAGAGTTGCTGGTGATTGCAACCTTTAAAAACTACACCTGTTTAAACAGAGTAATTTAAAGGAAACAATGGGCAAGAAGATGATTTTCCTTTGAAAGAAACATGTTATGATTTTGTGTCCCTATTTGAGGTCCTATGGCTTTATGTCAAAGGCCTGTTCAGTCTTCAGTCAGGTAATGTGATATCATTACATTTTACTTTGGGATGTTGGCATTTTAGAAAGATCTAATTAAGATTGTTAAGCAGACAAAATAGTAAACCCTCCCATTCACAAAAGATCTAGAACTCTTGTATTTTCTATTTTTTACTTTAATCACTGTCCAGAAGAAGTTAGACGATTTAATTCTAAGTGACAATTCAAGCACTTTGGCTGTTTGTTTTTTCAAAAAATGCTAAGTGAAAAAATAAGCATGACTAGTGAATCTATTGAATGTTGTTTTATACATTTTGAGAAACTTGTTAATATCATAACTAAGGAAATAACTAAAGATTCTGTTAATATTCAGAAAGCTAACTTCCATTTTCAGCTTCAAGAAATATTAAAATTCTAATGTTAAGTCTCTTACTAGTGTTAAGCATAAAGATATTTAAAGTTGTTGGCATTATGAATTGGTTTAATAGTTACCTCATTTACATATAAATCCTTATTTTAATAACTCTGTTTTCCTAAGTGTTGCCCCTACTTACCCTGTTTGTAATCAGAATTGCTATGGCAGGTTAAGATAGGTCAGTAGAAGAGATCAGTTTGTCTTTTTACAGAATTGACTATTGTAAGAAGTCACTGTTTGAGTATATCTGGGATGGTGTTTTATAAGCACACATTATGCATGCACCACTTGGAATAAACTTTTCATTTTTAAGCACAGAATTTTCTAAGACGACATTAAATGAGTGAAACCTATTTTGGCCTTGAAAGCCAAAGTGAAATTTGAAGGCAAGTCTTAATGAACAAAAGTCCCCTGTCATATCTGACTATCCCAAAAAAAGAACTGGAGAAACCTAGAAGGCATTTTGAAAATTCTTGTACCTACCTTTTTAACTGGGATGGTGTTTCCCAAATAAGAGGTATTTACTTGAGTGGCATCCTTTGGTTGGATAAAAGCTGGGCTGTAACCCCAGCTATGTAAGAGGCAGGAGGATCATAAGTTCAAGGCCAGCCCAGGAAAAGCTAGTAAGTTCCTATTTCAAAAACAAAATCAAAACAAAAGGGCTGAGGGCATTGCTTAAGTGGTAGAACACTTGCATAGCAAGTGTAAGATCTGAGTTTGATCCCCAGTTCAGAAAACAAGTTAATTTGTTAATTCATCAAATATATATTGAACATCTGACATGAACCAGAAGCTATTCTAGGTGTTTGGAAAATACTGATAAACAAAAACAAAGATCCTTACTATCATAAACCTAAGATATTCTAAGACACTGGGTCACATATTCTAGTGCAGTCACCTTATTAAAGCTTCAAGATTTTTGTGAAGCAAATATAACCAAAAGCTACAAATAATGTAAATGTAACACAAAAATAAAACAATTTCAAAGAAATAACATTTTAACCAAAAAATATTGTTTTTAACATCTTCAAAGATAAATTTCAGTAGCTCTAAATGATACTGAATTGATGATGCTCAGCTTCCAAGTTTTGGTGAAGTAACTTCTCGGTATATGCTTACTCTATTTAATGAGAAATTAAATGCTCTACTTTATTGTAGAAAAAAGAACTACATGTAAACTTCTTTATTAAAGCTATACTGTATATACAAGGAACACAAAGCTATCTAAGAGGTAGAAAGCTATCAAATACCTATTAATAGTCTCATGAACTATTCCAATATGCTGTCAGAACAGTTTTAACTGTCTGACAGCCTTTCCCCATTTCTTGGACAAAAATGCAGTCTTAATAGTTTTGCTATTATGACTGCATGTCCTACTACTTCATAGCAGGCTTTTTGTTCATCACTTGGAGAGGCAGAGAGAGGTATAGCTGACCACACAAGGCCTAGAGTCAGGCTCCAGAACAGAAGTAAAAACAAAATCTCCACCTTTAATGGCTTCCATTTAGTCATTTTACCTTATTTAACCCCCCTTTTAACTGCCTTAATTTTCTAATCCTTCCTATTCTAAAACACACATACCTTTTCTAATCTAGTAAACCAGATTCTTTCCATATGTAACTGTATAAGTCCCATTTTCTGAAAGCCTTTATTTAAGTGCCACCTAGTACTTTCATGGGCTGCTTCCCTGAACCTATGATGTACGAACTTACTCATTTTCCTAGGAAGATTAACAAATAAAATTAAGAAGATGACCCCAACTCCTAAAAAGGTCCCACAAAAATAAAGTGATCTCATTTTATCAACAACAAATCTAACTTTTCACTAGTGTTGGGAATATCCATACATCTGTTGCCTGTGCACTGCTGCCATCTATGAGTGATGTGTGTATTACGTAGCTTAAGTTGACTATACATTGCAGGACTTAACATTGTAGCAGTTATGGCTGTCCTTAAAACTCAGCAGAAGAAAGGTCTTAACTAATATGTATTATTAATATAAATAAGCTAAAATACATATTGTATCCATAGTAGGCACAACCTGTGTTGTGAGATGTAGGGAAAGACCATGGGACTAAGAGTTCTGTAACATGGCCCATTCTCAAGTCCCAGCTTTATCAATAAAAGAGTGGGTTAGAGTAGGGAATTTCGGATGTTTCCTCTAGTTCTGACATATTAGTAGGCATAACACTGTAGTTCCTACAGGCAAGCACTTAAATTTGTGATGAGGAACTTTGATAGGTGAACGTGTAATGGCCATGATAGTCATGTACCTTCTCTATGGTTACAGAACCAAATGCTAACCCTAAACCAGAAAGGAAAGAATGCTGTGAGGAGTAGGGGTTGTTAGCAATGAAGTGGAATGCCTTTCCATATGATGAATTAAGAGGTATGGTTTGCCAGCTTGTCCAGCTGAGACCCAGGTATGGTAGTACGGGGATCAACTCTCCAAGCAGAGTTCAAAGCATTGTGAAAAACACCTCTCCTCTTATTCAAGGATGTGTTCAGTGACTCAGTCCAGCAATATTTACTGAACAGTTTGTAACTATAGAAGTACAGTGTTACCACTAGAGGACTGAAACATCCTGCCTACCCTCAAGTTCAAGGATGAGGAGCTCCTCACAGGATCCTCATCCTGGTCCTTGTAACCACACCTGATGCCTTGCCTACTCCCTCGTTCATAGTAGGCATTAGAAATGAACTTGAACTAACTGGACATGGTCCCTGTGCTCAACAGAGTTCCTAGCCCAGTGGCATAAGAGAAAACCTTAGATGTTTTAAGAAAATTCATTTCACACAGTTTTTTGATACATGTATTTATTATGGTGTAAAAAGCAACACTACCTAATTTCATTTAAAATAAATGTTTCCCAATTTCACAATACTTACAGTTTATAGTTTTACAATTAAATACATCCATAGCTGTGTGATCCCCAGGAAGAATCTAAATCCAACATTAGGTCATTCAGTCCCTGCCAGATAGATGACAGCATCAACAGCAAATTTAGCTGTGCAGCTAAGGGACAGGGTGGGCAGCAGTGGGTGGAGCCTATCATCCAAGTCCAGGCCATTAGAGCCAGGACCAACAAGACAACAGTGTGTACAAGGCCTGAAATTAACATGCCCTTCTAAAGCGCCTGAGGTACAGGAAAATCACATATAATCCTAAAATCCAAACAAAAAGGTCTTTGGAGTTTATCAATGGCAGCAGTTAACAGCACATTCAATAAGTATTTCAACCAAATGTACTCATTATTATCAGCCAATAGCAAAGGGCCAGAGCAGGACCTGGCACACAGTCATAAATAATATCATGGGTAAATAAGGCATATTTAACTATACCACAAAGATTCTACAAAACATTTTTGATCTGAGAAAAGATGAAAATTCTCTTTGTTCCCAAATAATAGTGAGACTCTCTCATTAGAGAAAAGCCTCACAGTCATTGGTAATCTGAAAGCTACACAATTAACCACCTTAATGTTTCATTTTAATCATGCAAAATAAGCTGCTGTTTGAAGAGTTCTAGTTGATTTCAGCTACATCAGTTCTACCCCTCAGTACCTTTGAGGGTGATGCTGCTCTTGTGCAGCCTTTTCCAAGTACCCCCTGTCTACATGGCTTGACAGGTCTGTGAGGCAGAAGCACAGGAACAAGACTGGTCACACACCCACATCCCCCTACAAAAGCTGGAACCTGGAAACAGCTTGGTGCCTGGTTTCACCGTGGGAGTTGCCTGGGAATGGGAGGGCAGTGGCTTAAGCACTCACTCAGACTTGAAGCGAAAGTCAAAGCACCTGGAAGCTTCTGGCGTGACTAAGGTGCCATCAGGCATAAGATCAAAAAGCAGTTTGTGCTGATTTGGGGGGAGGGTAGGAAATGGCCATATTAATGTGGGAACAACTAGCATTCATATAGTTGAGAATTTTGCTCATTTCTTAAAACATGGCTTCAAAGAAGTCCATTTGTGTGTGTGTGTGTGTGTGTGTGTGTGTGTGTGCACGTGTGCTTAATACCAGAAATCCTAACATACCTCTTTATCTCCTCAAGGAAATAGTAGGATAAAATGTATGTGCAATTCCTAAAACAAATTCTGTTCTTTCTCTTTTGAAGTCCCTTTTACTTACTTTATAATTAATCATTAGTTACCTTTCCAAGACAAAGAAATGATGGGTCTCAATTTAAAATGAAGTAGTATTTTCTTATTATTGAATTATAGAGTTCACCAAAAGTTATACAGTAGAGAATTAGAAGAAACCTAGAGCAACCCAGTGTCCCCAAAAGAATACAAATACCTTGGTATCTCAATGCAGACTTTTAATGACAGGTTTAAAAACATTTTATTTGTAGCAGTTCCCATACCATCAAAATAACTTTGGTAGCTTAAAGCATTTCTGAATTTGTCTTTATCTTAGAAGATGAAAAATAACTTCTTAAGGAGCTGTAGTGACACATGCCTTCATTATTTAGACTGATGAATTTGACTAATTTATACTTAGCTTAGTGATTTTGTTTTTGGTTCATCTTCTATAGACAAGTGGCAAACTTCTAGCTCTGATGCCAGAAATGTGACTCAATTTCTGACTCAATGTGGAAACATGAAAACTGCATAGTATGCCAGCACTCACTTTCCCAGCTGAAGGGAAGAGGCAGATAGCTAGACATCTGAGAAGAGAGGCTGGTTTAGGGGATATAGAAAAAGGAAGTATTTCGAAAAGTATAACTATATTCACGTGTACATTTTTGGTCACCATACATATCTTAAACAGATTCCCTGATAAAGTCTAATCAGAATTGGCTTATTCTACTAACAGTTGTTAACTATATAATTTTAAAGAGTCCTGTTAGGTGAGGGTGATGGGAGACATTTTAAACAATCAACCGTAAGTGCATATAGTTGTTCAAACACTCAAACTAAATCTATATCTGATGTCTTGAAAATCACACTGTTTGCTTCTAAAGACAGCCTTGACTCCTTTGGACAGACTGTTGCACAGAACTCACTTTATAAATGCAGGTCAGATATCATCACCATAAATAGAAAATTCACAAAACACACAAATAAATCTTGAAGACCACACAATTAAGCTAGCATAACTATTTCTTTTACATCAAATTATACAATGCATGGTAAATATTGCTCACATTATGGAGGGAGATTGTTTTATTTCTATTTTTTCCCAAAGAAATCAGATTTGTCCTGTGCACAATGAAGAAAACTCCAGTAACACTGAAATGACAAATGTAAAATATACATCACTACCAGATAGAAATACACACGTTCTTCATAATCATTTTCCACAATTAAATAGGTAAGTAATTTAAATCTTGGGATTTAAGACCATTATAACAATCCATCAAGATTCTTATGGACAGTTTGATTTTCCTTTCCATTGTCAGAATCTCCTTGAGGTGTGTACTGGACTTGGTATTCCTGGAGGATTTTAAATACATCGTGGTGTCCAAAGTGCAGTGCTTCATCCATGGGGGTGTTATTCCACCTAAAAAGTGGCACAGCACGGACAGGGACATTAGGAAATTTCTGTGCAAAGATTATCATCCAATCTTACTAGGTTTTAAATGTAGGTTAAGTGGCCATTCAAATTTAGTAATTGATAGCAGAAATAGATTTATAACTCAAAAACTGTATTAGAGACAAATTGGGATATGAAGAGAAGGAAAAGAAAGGATCCTGTTTATACATGCTATTGCTGATGGAGGGGCCTTTAGGAGTAAAGTGCTAGTGTCAACCAACAATAGACGCAGCTAGGGTTCCTGAATTTTAACCTCATGAAAAGCCCAAAGTATTTCTTTTTTAAGTAAAATGTTCAAAGAAATTCAGACACATAACAAACATCATCCTAGCCTTTGGCAGAAAATTTATGTTCCTGTCAATTCAAAAAATCACAAAATCTCAGAAGTCTAGAAATAATTGTGACCTTGTGAGGGCTTAAACACATTGAGAGAGACCAGGGGAGGTGACATTTTCAGCACATCCTGCAAGAATGGGAAGCTTCGGACTCAACAGGACCACTACCACCAGAAGCAAACTCCCCTTCTCTTCCATAAGTGTGCTTCTGGGGCTGTGCTGTTGAGAGTAAGGCAGATGAGATGGTGAGGAGTGAAGAGCTGCCAAGAAGAGTTAATCAGCTAAGCCTTCTGCAAAAGGAGACAGCACAATAAAACCAAGGCCCCAGTAAAGGGCAGGAGCAGGGTTCCCAGTCTTTACAGACTGTGAGGCCTGTGGATCTGTCCTCTCCCTGCTACTTGTCATTTACTTCTCCACAGCTGCTGGCTTCGTATGCCACTGCCACCACCTTTCCTCTGGTTTTTATTTATTTCCATTTCCTTCTTTTCTTTCCATTTGTCCTGAACCTCTAACCCTTTCAATGGGAGTTACAATATCAAACAAAAGGTGCTTAAAATAATCTCATTTTTAAACATTTTTGGTCACATGCTATTCACTTTTAAAACCAGGTAAGTAACACTTTACATGTATCTTTGTGCTAGTGGCTTTTTTTATACTGGCCTTCATCAGTTTAAGAAGTGACTCTTAAATAGGACTTTTTAGTCATCCTCAACAGTGTGTTTGTGTGACTTTTTGAAAAAATTAAATGTCAACTGCATGTTTCCTTTTTTACCACAAACAAAAGATCCAACTTTATTTTTTAGGTATTTTTAGATTTATTTATTTAATTTTTTTTAGCTGTACTGGGGCTTGAACTCAGGGCCTCACACTTAGGCAGGCGCTCTACCACTTGAGCCACTTATCAATCAGAAACCAACTTCAAAGATTAATTTCACTCCAGTCTATTTTAGAATTTTAGGTGATATTCATTATGTTTAATAGAGAAAAAGTTATCTTGGGTCTCTAGCTTCCATTCTGGAGTAGTTAAATACCTAGTTACAAGTTATACTTACCTTATTTTTGCCTATCAGATGGATTCTTCTATTTCCACATTCTTACAGGCCAATTTAGGGGGGAAAATTCAAATATGCAAAACAGTAAATATTTCCAACGTGGATTATAGAATGTGTTAGTTGGGAGTATAAACACAGGGAAACGCTTACCAGTTTCTTGCTCTAGAAAGAGCAGGATGGACATATTTGAGGATAAATGGGAAGACTGTCATGCTAATTTCAGGTTTTGGAATACTGCCAATAAAGGTCATTTAAATCATGATGCTTTTTAACAACTATAAGAATAAAGCTAGGTAGCCAAAGTGTTATCACACTCATAAACTTTTAAGACACTGACATGGTAACTTCTCACTTTTTTGCAAGTTGGACCAGTAAGATACAGACCAAACTTAAAAAATATAAAACTTAGTAAACAGATCTAATACCTAGAAAGTAAACACCCTGCTCCAAACTTAACGCAGCTCCTGTTCCTAAAATATGGAATTCAAACCCTACCACACATATCAAACCTCTCTACCAAGTATTTATCCTTGCATTGTTCTGAACCTTTATTCTCTCCATTCCAAGTACAAGCCAGGCCCGACCCTGCTTAGCTTCCGAGATCAGGCATGTTCAGGGTGGCATGGCCGTAGACTAAACCTTTATTCTCACTACTCAGTGCTGGCTCATCCACTCTACTCCAACATATATCACATCCAACTATGTGAGTACAGCATTTACTGTTCATATTATGTGCGTGTACTTCAGCTGCACTCTCACCCTAGCTCAGACCACCTTGTGGATAGTATTTACACAGGATGAATAGTAGTCTGCCATGTGGACCAGGAGGGGGAGAAGGGGAACAAAATAATTCTAGGCAGATTCCTCCCACAGAATACTCTTCTCTTCATTCCATGCCTTCAAATCTCATCTGTTCCCCAAATCCCTGATTAAAATGCAACTTCCACAAAGCCCTTTAAAACTGATTCCGCCCAAATCCAGGAGTATCAACAAGCTCCAATCTATTTATTTTAAAGTTCTTTAATAGCAATTTTCTTACGCATTTTTATAAGCTTCTGTAAATGCGACCCTGCATAGTCAAAAGCCCCTTGAGTCCAGAATTCCTATTTTTTCTTTCAAACACAAAGAACCATCTTCTTCATACCGTGTATGAATTGATAGTTAAACCTGAAATTCCTAAGTAAGATACTGTTCTTAAATAAGAAACAGAGTATCTATCAGAATCAAGGTTTTGTTTGTTGCTTTTGTAAGATACCACAGCAGACTCAACAATGTCTTGGTGGATTTACATATACCAGCACTTGAAACTGTGATGCTATATAATACAATACTAACTTGTCAGTATGTTAGAAGGTAATGTAAGTACTCACCTGTCCTTGGGGAAAGGATTTACTTTGCAAGCTTCCAGCAAAAATTTAACAACTTCAACATGACCTAACACCCCCGCCAAAAAAAGAAAAAAAAAAAAAGATTTAGTATTGAGTAGAAATTAAATCTGGAGAAAAAAAATGAATGAGTGGTCCATGTCATACCTTCTGCAGCAGCTACGTGGAGTGCTGTTCTAGAATCATAGTCCCGCTGCTCCATGTCCATGGCTGACAAGGCAAATCTGAAAAGTCATAAGCAGAGCTACTGATTATATAGAAACAAGTTCAATTCACACTTGCAACATTTACTCCAACAGTTCGATCTAAGGGCCTGTCAGCTAGGTGCTGTCCTTCACTAGTCCCATTTGTGGTAATTAAAGCCCTTGTTCACCCAGTACCCAGGTGTCCTTGGTAAACGCCATTCCATTTCTCTCTTCTTTAGCTTTGCTACTTCAGAGTAAGATAAGACATTAACCATCTCTTACAGAATTAAGCTCCATCACGTTATTATTAGAACTCAAGAACAATGGCACAACTATACCAAAATTTATAATTTGAAAGAAATACAAATAGTAAAGTACACATTTTCACTGACTCCCCCTCTTTACACTGACATTTTATAGTCTACAGTTTATAAGTACTCATCAGATTTTAAAACAGCAGGGAAATTAAGCCCCCAAGCTTTTCCACTTTAATGGTCAGTTGCAACTCTATACAAGAGAACTTATATGGCATTCAGTAGTATATGGTCTTTTTAATCCTGGTGATCTACAGGATGCCAAACATTCTAATCCCCCACCCCACCAGAGATGGGGAGTGGAGGGTAGATGGAGAGTGGGAAGGCATTGTCTGATTGCAGTGAACCATTCATGCTAATTAAATAGTTGGGCAGTTATCACTTAGAAAAGTAGAGATCTGGGCTTTTACAGGAGATAGAACAATACTGGACATGAGGTCTATGGCATTGAAGTGGGAATTTAATAAAAACTTGGGGTCATTTTTATTAGCAGAAAGTGGAAGTGAGTCTTTAGCCCTAAAATAGCTGCTCTCCCAAAAGCAGCTTCATAATTACCTGAAAAGCACATGCTAATTCACCCTGTTAACATACCTTCGAAGGGCAGACACATCTCCAGTATATGCAGCAAACAGAAGGTTTATCACTGACTTTACCTGTAATGAAAAGAAAATTCAGACATCCATAGGAGAAAATAAACACACATAAATGCCCGACTGGTAAGTGGTTTCCATGTGCTTTGAACACTTTAACTGGATCACTGGCAGAAAATTTTCTTAAGTACACATCTATAACCAAAAGAACACACGTGGTATCTTAACAGGATCAGGAGGGGAAATTTAATCATAAAGATAAGGTCCGTAAGGGAAAGAATGGAATGATGGTATCAGTTGGCACAAGCAAATAGGTGCTTACAACCTGTGAAATTTGCACAGTTAGGGCAACAGAAAATTCTTTAGAACACTTCTACACTGAGAATCACATAATTCTGAAAATGAAGTTGTGCTATATAAATGTACAATCCCTCTCAGCCATCACTTCCTTCACCAATTACTGGATTCTTTGCAAATCTTAAGAGACAATTCAGTGGTTATCATCTTAATAATAGGATTATACTTCACTAGAAAGACAGTCCAGTCATTTTTTTGGGGTTTTTTTTGGTGGTGGTACTAGGGTTTGAACTCAGGGTCTTATGCTTCTAGGCAGGCATTCTACTTTTTGAGCCACTCCACCAACCTGACAGTCCAGTTTTTCCCAGACAGAATGAACTGGGGCATTCTCGAATCCCATGACACTATTTTAAAGGTGAGTAAACAAAAAATACTAAGTCAGTGCTACTGAGTGCTTCAAGACTCAAAGTTTACCTACTGTTGACAGTTACCCACCTCTTGTTCTGATAGTTAAAAGGAAAAGGCTAATTATCCTAAGTGCTATTCTATTTTTGGTCTGCTTTCATGAAGACATGCTATCAGTGCAGTCGTTCACATCTGTAATCCTAGCTACTTAGGAGGTGATCAGGAAGATCGCAGTGAGAGGTCAGCCATGGTGAAGAGTTCAGGAGACACCATCTCAAACAACAAAAAAGCTGGATCCATTGGGATGCGCCTGTATGCGGAAAGAATAAATAGGAGGATTGCTGGTCCAAGGTCCAGGCAACTGGGGCATAAACATGAGACCCTATTCAAAAAACAAAGAAAAAAGAACTAGGAGCAAGGCCCCAGTAGAGAGCCTACCTAGCAAGCGCAAGGCCCTGTGTTTAAATCCCAGCACTACCAAAAAAAAAAAAAAAACCCAAAACAATGAAAACCACACAATCGATCATACAATGTTTGTAAATACTTCAAACATCCCCAATTTTGCCTTACACTTTGTAATTTCAACATTCATATGAAAGACCCCACTGACTGGAAGTTAGTGGTAGAAAATAAGTTTAATTAGGAGAATAGAAAGTAACCCACCTCTCCAGGAACAAAGTCACCACCCTGGACCTGTGGTTCAAGATCTTAAACTGGATAGTATTCCCTTTGCACTGTGACTCCCCTTCCACACAACCTGTGAACTTTCAAAACTAACTGGAACTGACCACTGCTGGCCTTCTCTAAGTTAGCATTTTCAAGGATGCTCTGTGAAAATAAGGGTCCTGGAGTTGGACATGTTCTTAAAATATTCAAACCCCTCTTGAAAACGCACGAGCATATGAGGTTCTGTAATGTTCTGCAGTATAGGAACCTGCCTAACTAGCTGAGCTGTGTACTCCCAAACACTTTCACTGTTAGTTTTGGTATCACTTCAAAAAGAACTCTCACTTCTAGTCCTCAGTCCACTAGCTTCCCTTCCTGCCATCTATTACTACTCCTGCCAGCCTCTACCTGAGCATCAGTCCCTCTCAGTCCAGAACAGGGTTCTCAGTCGGGGTGGGAGAAACTTTCATTCAGAATGCTCTAAAAACATAGAAAACCATCTTTCCTTCCATTTCTAGTTGTCTAACCTGTATACTTCAAAATGATACATGTTAGGGAAAGGAGGCAAACAATGTTTAGTCTCTAGGTGACTTTGATATGAATCACTATTTCAAGTGCTTTATTCTTTTTTTTTTTCATTGTGCTAGGTGGAGGTACATTGTGGAGTTTACAAAAGTTCTTAAAATATGTCAAGTACATTCAGGTGCTTTTAACTTCTTTCTTTTGTGGTGGGACCAATTGTACTCCCCCCAGCACCAAGTTCTTGCTATTGATCTCAGGACTTTTCCTAGACAAGCACACTACCACTTTCAACACATGCCCAGCCTTTTGCTTTGACTTTTTTACATTGGGTCTACCATAGTCTTTGCCTGCTGGCCTCAAACTGCTGTCCTCCTACCTCTGCTTCCCAAGTAGCTAGGGATACAGGCATTCACTCTCATGCCTGGCCTCTACTGTGTCAATTCTGACTCCTTCATTCTTTTTGTGCTCTTGGGCCACAAAAGCCACAGACTAATGAGTGCCTATTATAAATTATTCATATTTCACACCAGTGACCTCTGACACAGATGATACTGACCACAACTTGGTTGGAAAACTAAAAATCTGTTCTCATCTCTCCCCTTATTCTTCCTGAAAAATACTTACCTCTAATACCTACTTCCTCTTTCTTCCCTCCATGCCTGAAACCCAAAAGTATCCCTCTTCATTTCTGAGACTTGCTTCTTTACCTTCTCCTTTAAACCTAATCCTCCAGATCCCTGGACCTTGGTGCTAGGATCTTTGGTTCTGTCATCTTCAACTTTTCCTCCTGCACTGTTTCCCTTATGCCTATCTTAATACAAACACAAATTCTTCCTCTTTTGAAATACCAACACTTGATCTTCCCTTTTGCTGCATATTTTCTGAAAGTAGTTTATATTCTTAATTTCTGAAAATTACCTTCATGCTCACTGCCACCTCCAAACAGTACTCAAAAGCTCCAGGGGCCTTCCTAAACCCATTCTGGTCTCCCAACACTCCCCCACCCTCTAATGGCTTCTCTTCCAAGATGCTTCAGGACCCTCATCTTCCTCCTGCGTGCTGCTGTGGAGACTTGCTGCCTTCTTTACACCACCTAATCATATGTCAAAGGCAGTCTCCATCCTCTTTGTCAAAATAATGTCCCTCAACAGTTTCCTACATTCCTCTATCAGAATGACTTCCCAATTTGGACCTTTAATCAGAATCATTGTTCCTAAACACAACCCTATAGCTCCACTTGACTGTCACACTGACATTTCAAGCTCAAAAGCAGCAACATCCCTGACAATTCCCCACTCTGGCTCCCGAAGTCCATATCCACCTGCACACTGGACATTTATCTCCAGGATCCTGAATAAACAACTCAGTCTTGTGTCCAAAACAGAACTTGATTTGCTCTGTCTTCCTGCTTCAATCAGCTCTTCCAGTCTCTCCCATTTGGAGATGACACTGCAATTCACCTGCTTGTTCTAAGAGTCATCTAGGCTTGCTACATTGACTTGTGGAGGTTGAGCCCTCCACAGATGCCCACCCCAGTTTTCCCAACCAAGGTGTCCTACACTCAGGTGCACCTGCTGGGAGAAGGGAACCTTCTTCACCCAAAGGTGTGGAGGATCTGCTTGTGTCCAGAAGCAGAATTACTAATTCCCACAAATTCACCATATATAATTCACACCCCTTGCGGGTTCTCTCTCTCACAACCCACATCTTGCTCATCAACTACACTGGCCTCTTTGCTCCACCTCCACAGTATGTTTGCAATCCCACGACTTCTCACCATCTCTGTCACTTCTGTTCTAGGCTTGTCTGAGTCAATCTTATCTCATGTGGAGGACTGAGATAGCTTAACTATTCCTCTTCTGAACTCTTTTATCACAGGAATCTTTATAAAACATCAAGGCACTTGCCATGACTTTCTATCATACCTACAGTAAAATTTCAAGCTGCCATGGCTCACAGGACCCTGGCTACATTGCCCATCTCATTCCTAACCGCTCTTCTCCTTGCAGTTCTGCTCTGGCCAGGGGTTCAAGCTTGAAGCCGTTGGTCTCCACTGTCCAGAATGCTGCTTCCCCAGGCAGTGAGGAGGTGCTCTCTCTTTGTCCTGGTTTCTACTCTAAAACCCCCCCTTTTCTTCCCTCCTTGCTCCTTATCTTGGTATTTCTCTTCAAGGTAACTTGAAGAGAACTTGTTTATTGTCTTTGTCCCATTAAATATAAGCTTTGTGTGGGAAGAGACCACTTGTTCTTTCTTTCCCCACTGTAACCCCAGTGCCTACTATATATAATAGGTGACCATTAAATATTTATTGATTAACTAACTGAATATTCTCTTCTGAGGCACCAAATACTCAGCATTTGGGGGTTAAATTGTAATAACTGCCCACTTCTTTTTACATCATAAATTTTGGTACCAGATTTATTCAGTCCCTTCTTTGTGCCTCTCTTCTTCTAGTCCTTCCACCCTCCCAAACCTTTCCATACATCTTAAAACATTGCTTTGATCACTAAAGTATCGAAGCAGGATAGTGTCAAGAAATCCTAAAATCAGTCATATTACATTTAAATTCTTTAGCCTTGCGTCAAGGCTTTTCAGTCTGGCTAACTTTTCTCTCAACTTTGACAGAGCAGTATTGGCTTACTCAGAACCCTTGTTTAGTCTTGTTGTCTCTGCTCTTCTCTCTCTGAGGACACACAGACTCCTAATCAAATCCCTTCTCTGCCCTCCAAGGCCAGCTTGGACTCCCTTTTCTTGCTGCCAGACTTCCCCAGGCCAAACCACCTGAACAGTCATTATCCACACAGCTTGTCACCCTGTGACAGCATGTGCCAGGGATGGTGTCATCAAGAAGATAGCACCTCTCCAACTACAACCCTGAATATAGTTTCTGCTCCTTCTAAGCCACAGGGCACACTGTTCCCTGAAAACATCTTTTCTATACCTGTTTCTCTCTGAAATGTTATTCTTGCCCCTATTCTGTGAACACTACTCCAAACTCTTAAATTGGAAGTAAACTCCTGTATTTTCTCCCTATGGTACCATCACACATAACCACATGGTGTATTTACTTGTGTCTTATCTCCCCCACTACTGAAGAAAAATGATGTGCATCATTAATAAATTACCCATAGCTCCTATTAATCAGTCCTTCCTAGAAATAACTGTCATCTGTT